TGGTCATATGTGACATCGTGGAAGAACTTTTGAGCATCCAGCGCACGGCCGAGTAAAAGAGCAAGGTTGCGATCGTTAGTTCTGATGATGGAGCCGATCAAGTCTACCGAATCAGTACCCGAAAACGCATTCTGATACGAAAGGCCGTTCTTCTGTCGTTCGCCAAGTGAAATCTTCTCCCTGAAAATCTCAGCGACAAGAGAAAGCAAAGCAGGATAGACCACCGGAACTTTGCGCTGCGAATCCCTAGAAACAAGGGTAACTTTTCCGGAGGAGCCCTGTGTGGCTTGGCTTTGAACGCTCATCGCCCGGTCAGGGGCAACAGTGGATGCCATGGACATAGTGCGAGATCTCTGCGATGCATCGCTTGGCTGACGAGATGTAATAGACTCATCCGGACTGGGCTGCATCATTGAGTCGTACCTTACTGGAATATGTTGATCGTGACTTGACGGAGGTCTACGGTGTGGAATTGACCTTCCGCTGCTCATGATATGCGGATCCCGATCCGACGACCAGGAAGTCATAGACATAGCTCGTTCGTTCGCATGCTTTTCTGGAACAGGACGGCCGAGCTGTGTGACCTGGGCACCAGCATGATACTGTTCACGACGAGAGGCAGTGGCAGAGGTGTGATTGAAGTTGCTTGGTGGGGTCTGGTAAGGCGGCCCGCTCAGTTTTGCCATTGATCTTGACCGGGTTGAATCGGAATTCAGCGCAGGAGGAGGCATGGGGCGATTGAAATCCCTAGGATCTGGGTACTGGGGAGCAGGACTTGGTCTTGACTCGAGGCGTTGAGGCCGAGGATAGGCAGCAAAACGTTGTTGGGGATTTGGGTTTGGGTTGTATCGAGGAGGCTGATGTGAAGACATTGTTGCCGAGGCCCCTGGATTGTAGGCCTGATACTGCCCAGACGGTGGGGGTGGAGGATATCCATTTGGTGGTGCCGATGGCGGTCCGTGTCCATTTGGCATATGCCGTGTTGGCGGCGGTGGTGGTCTCTGAAATTGGGGTTGTGCGACATGCGACGACATGGTATGAGCGCGACCCTGGGAGAATTGCGGGGTCTGGGAATTCATGGTATGGGAGCGTCCTGCGGGTGGTGCGCCTCCAAAAATGTCAGAATACGCTGCATCTCGCTGCGTGGACGAGGCGGGTCCGTGAGGCCGGTAATTCCGGCTACGCTGGCCCCCCAAATCCGCCATTTTCACGGATTATCGGCGATCGAGGACGAGTAGCAGTGGTTTAATCAGATACGCAAGGTATATCTATTCCGGGATGCGAGGATGGCGGAAGGCGGATCCGGTTTGATCGTGGAGAGCGTTCAGGGCGTCGCAAGAGGTCTGTTCAAGATCGTGGACAACGGGAGCAACAATAGAGGTGGGACGAGAAGAAAATATTCCGTAGGCAATGACCTCGAAAGAAATAATAGATTGTCTCAAAAGCACTGATGGGACTCAATATTCCATAACTCCCCTCAGTTTTGATGGGGAATTTAAAGGCAATATCAAAACGGTATTAATGGAAAAGCGCCAGGAGCCGTGAGCGCAACAAAGTCAAGGCTCCCTTCAATTTCATGCCCTCAGCATCCTCCGAGATTTGAGGTGAGTGATAAAGGTAGGAGAGTTGTTGAAGGTGGGGGTGGTTAGATGTTGAAAATGCAGTAATAAACTGGGGGGGAGAGGGACCCAGGAGAACGAGGATGGCGAAGGTGACGGCGAGGCCGGTATGGTAATTTCAATACAAAGACTCCTAATATGCGGGTGATCAGGCGCTTAGAATCGAACAACTGAAATACAATAGGTATGGTATCGTCACCGCCTAGGACCAGACAATGGCGTGGACTACGGCGGGCGAAGTGACCATGTGGAACACCCCAAAGCCCCGAAACCTCCAGCTATCAACAGCCCGAACTTCTCCCTGCCCTTGATCTTGTATCAAACAGGTCTCGTTTTCTTCTTATATTTCTGTGTGATTGGCGAGATTAGTCTTGCTCCAGCATCACTATGGCAGACAGTGAGCTTGCGCCCAAGTTCGCTCCGTTCTTCTCCTTCGTGAGTTCAAGGTCCCGAGAATATTGGAGTTAATAGACTAACAGGCTTCCGATAATAGGCTGGCATTGCTGCAGCAGTGAGTTTATACCCCCTCTCCTATCCGACAGTACACTAACAGTTCCCTGCAGATGATCTTCGGGTGTACGTGGAATACCTCGCGCGGATGGAGCCAACTCTCTAGGTTCTAGGTCTTTGGACAAACAGCTTACAATCTCACAGCGGCAGGAGCAGCCTATGGAACAGCGAAGTCTGGCATTGGAATTGCAGGCGTGGGAACCTATAGGGCCGATCTCATCATGAAGGTAAGAAACCATTTATCCCAGGTTCGTTGGTTCCGCGATGAGCAGGATGGTAGCTAATCAAATTCATGGCTGCAGTCCCTCATCCCCGTTGTTATGTCCGGTATCATTGCAGTTTACGGTCTTGTTATCGCCGTGCTCATTGCGCAAACAGTGGGCCCAACAAAACATATGAGCTTGTACACGTACGTTTCGCGAGTTGGGTATGTGGATCTTGGGACAAGCTAACACTGCACAGAGGATTCATGCATCTTGCCGCTGGAATGTCCGTTGGTCTTACGGGTGTGGCTGCTGGTTATACAATTGGGGTTGTCGGTGATGCAGTAAGGACCCTATATATGCAGCAACACAAGAGGACCATTAAAGCCCTAACAGCTACTCTAGGGTGTCCGAGCATACATGCAACAGTCTCGGGTCTACGTGGGAATGATTCTCATCCTGATTTTCGGCGAAGTTCTCGGGCTTTATGGGTATGTTCCAAGTCAGATTCTTTAGATTACTCTTTGCTAACATGGTTAGCTTGATTGTTGGTTTGATCCTAAACTCAAAGTCTTGAGCGCCGAGCAATTTCGTACGACGACTCATTCCACCACACTTTTTCGTTCCGCTACCGGTCATCCTGAGCTCGAAGAGACATCATTTAATAAATGTGTACCGAAACCATGACCAGGACAGATAGTGACCATGGGACTGGATCGAGATATGGACTGACTTCTGAATCAAATACATTCTTATTTCTGGTGAACAATAAAGGGATCTTATATAGATTCGGGTCAAATCAAAGCTTAGAGCTTACTCAGGTCCGGTTTATCATCGTAGTTTCTTCCCGTTCAGCCCCGCCCCCAATAGCAAATACGTCAGAGCCAGAACTTCCATTCTTACAACTCTTTGCCCCGCGATTTTTCTGAAACCCCCAAACTCTTTCAAATCCTCAATGTTCTTTATGATCTGAAACTCGGCATTAACCTGTATTGCCGATTGGTGGCGCGCTAACGGGGTTCTCCATACACTTTTTTTTTTCTTCTACCACAACATGATCTTTGACATTTAACCATTCTAATGGCAACCGGAGCAGTGCAACATTCGCCAAATGAGGCGCCAGGAACCATGGTCTTTCCCAAGCTAAATGGCAACCTGCATAACAGAGAGAAGCAACTTGTCGAGTCCCTCCGGCCGTCTCCGCGATCCTCGAACCCTTTTCTTATCACCGAGCGCCAGGATGAGAAGCAACTATGCATCTCGTCGAGGAGTCTGCATGTGAGCGATTTTGTGCTCGTCAAGACTCTTGGAACCGGTCAGCGCGTGGCCTAACCCATATTTCTCTTACACGAGTAGCGTCTGACAGTTTATCTTTTTTTTTATTGTATAGGCACTTTCGCTCGGGTATGGCTTGCAAGGTTAAAGGATCAAAAGGACAAGGACAAAGTCTATGCGTTGAAAATTCTGCGAAAGGCGGACGGTAAGCGCCACTTTGTCTAATGTTGCGCGTGGCGAGGGATAACTTGTGCTGATTGCGACTGGAAAGTGATCAAACTCAAGCAAGTGGAACATGTGCGCAACGAGCGAAAGGCTCTGGCAGCCGTCATTGACCACCCTTTCATCACCACCTTGATTGCATCATTCTCGGATGAGAAGTGCCTCTACATGCTGGTATGGCAACCTTTTTTTTTTTGGAAACTCGGAATATGTTTTGGATGATCACGAGGTGCTGACCATTGTTAGCTGGATTATTGTCCTGGGGGTGAAATATTCACATATCTCCGACGACAACGACGCTTTAGCGAAGAAGTATCGACGTTCTATGCCGCCGAAATAACAATGACAATCGAGTTCCTGCACGACATCCATGGAGTCGCCTACCGAGATCTTAAACCGGAGAATATCCTGTTGGATGCCGACGGTCACCTCAAGCTTGTTGACTTCGGGTTTGCAAAGCAAGTCGATAACCGCGAGACATACACATTATGTGGCACGCCGGAATACCTAGCTCCGGAGGTCATTCAAAACAGCGGCCATGGACTTGCAGTGGACTGGTGGGCTCTTGGAATCTTGATCTACGAATTCTTGATTGGACAGCCTCCTTTCTGGGATCAGAACCCTATGCGCATCTACGAGCAGATCATCGAAGGCCGTCTACGCTTCCCACCGAACATGCCGCCCGCAGCACAAAACATCGTCTCCCTACTCTGTAAAACAAATCCGTCAGAGCGGCTGGGCCACATCTCTGGTGGTTCGACTCGAGTCAAGTCCCATCCGTTCTTTCAAAATGTCATTTGGGATGATTTGTTTTATCGCCGGATAAAAGGACCTATTCTTCCCCGCCTATCGCACCCCGCCGACACCGGTAACTTTGAGGAATACCCGGATCCCCCCGACCTCAGAAACATGAACATTTACACAGAGGATCTGAAGAAGAAGTATGAGCCATTATTCAGTGACTTCTGAAACATTCGTTTGCCATTACAGCCCATTAAGCTCCCACCGAATCTTCGTTCTTCCGCCATTATCAGATGACGGCCACACCTCTCAAACGGGACCCCCACGGACGCGCCCCCGGTGAGCGAATGCTCTTCCAGCCAGAGGCCGCACTCGCGATCATTCGCGATCATTCGCGCCAATCTTACCTTTTGCTTTCAGATGCGATCCCATGACAGCCCTTGGCAGGTATGTCTGTGGCAAATCTGGCCTCGGGGGATATCACACCCCTCGCCATGCTATTCAGCTGGTCTCACCGCCATCATTTGACCTTCCCGCACCCCCACACCCCCACACTCGTGGACAACAGTATGAATACCATCCCGGGCAGTATTACTTTTTTCTTTCTTTTTCTTTCTTTTTATTTACATACACTTCCCTTTGCAGAAGCTTTGTTTTGATCATGATCATGGAGATCAGGCACCTGGAGTTCATACTCTTGCCTAAGAACCAACAGCACCCCCACAAGGGTCCGAAGCGCAATCTTGTGGACGGGGAGCGTTTTAATAGCATTTTCTTTTGACTCTCTTTTCGTCGTAAATTATCAATATAACTTACATAGTCATGGGTAGCAGTTCACGTGTTACATAGGTGGTTGCTTATTACATATATTCAGGATGTTCGATATTGTCTACTCAAGTTAATGCTTGGTGCACCTACATATGTTGGGTGTTTTCAGCTTGAACATATGATGTCATTGCTAGCACAGATTTTGTGTTAGATCACTGACTCAATAGATTATGTCCCTTCTGATTTGATATGTGATGCTCTTCATAGTCATCCTATCGTTTTCACATTGAAAATCATCTGCAAAAACTGAGGATTTGAGTAGAGGACGCGAGCATCTGGGAAGAGAGAGAGAACTCTAGTTACGTATGCATAGGATGGATGTACCTAGTCACATGGTCATCGGAGAGTTTATTATCAGAAGCTAGATATCACATTTTTGATTGTCTTTGAAATCGTCTATTGTATTGTTCAGGGAAACTTGAGTATAGTAGAAATACATGATCCTTTCGGTGGCAACTTGAGATATTGAGCCTCCAAGTATACTTCAACCCCCAGATGATAGGATTCAAACCTTTCATACATTATATAGTACCACATCCAACCCAATTGGATCCTTCCTAGGTCGCTTTGCACAAGCGGCCATCCTCACTCTCGGTCCACTCATCGGAGCCGACAGCAGTTCTGGCGTAGAAGACATTGTTCGGGTCATACTTGGCCTTGATCTTGCGCAAAGTATCATAGTTGGTACCGTAGAAGACCTTTTGGAAGTTGGGCTGCTGGAAGTCACCCTGCAAAACGATAAGCATGTGTTCATAATAACGAAGGAAATTAGAGCTATATATTAGTTTACATACCTCATTCATATAAGCACCAGACTCGGGAGATAGCGCAGTCAACTTGGGAATGAAGTCCTCGGTCATTTGGCGCTGGCGCTCCAACATGAGAGCATCGTTATCCCACTCCCAGGGGGTCGTCAAAGTAGTATCAATCAGGGCCTCGCGCCAAGCAGGGAGGACCGCGTTGTGGACGTCTCCAGACACCTTTTGGGAGACGTTCAAGCCGACACCAATGAAGGTACCACCCGCCTCGGTGATCTCACGGTAGGCAGTCAGCAGGGCGTGGTTGTTGTTCTGAACGACTGATCTTGGGACCAACCAGCCTCCATACTGCGCAGTGCCAACCTCGATGACGCCTTGCATATCCTGGAATTGGCTGTAGTAGCTGTCGTATTGCTTGGAAACCGTGGTGTACTTGATGCCGAGGTTGTCGAGGCTGTCGGTGAAGGGCTTGAGAAGGGTTACCAAGTCAGCGACAGGGATGTTGGGACCCGTGATAGGAGCAATAGAGAAGCTAGTGTTGGTAAAGTACCAGACGCTCATAGCACCCGCGTCGACGATAGCGGGCAGCGCGGCGTGGAAGGTTTCGACGGTACTATAGAAGGTATCTTGCGAGATACCTTCACTCGTGTATGTCAGGTTCAGGCCGGAGACGGGAGTTCCGGGGTGTGCCTTCGAGGTCATGGACCAGACGACACCGTAGGTGCCGGCACCACCGCCGCTAAGAGCCCAGAAGATATCGGAGTATTCGTTGTCACGGGTAGCAGTGATGAAGTTGCCCTGGCCATCGATGACCTCCCATTTCAGGACCTGATCAGCGCCCAGGCCGTAGCGGGAGCTGAGGGCGGAGTGACCACCTCCTTGGGTGTAGCCACCGGCAAGACCAACAGTGGGACATTCACCGCCTACGACCTGGTAGCCAGTCTTCTCGGCAAGCTCGTAGGCTTCGTGGCCCTGAATTCCAGCGCCCATGGTAATGGCCTTTCCGCAGTAGTGCTGATCCTTGTAGGGATCAATTGACAGTTCCTTCAGGTGGTGAGTCCAGATCGCAAGGGATCCAGCACCAGTGGATCGGCCATTGTAGTCGTGGCCAGTGTTACGGATGACAAGACGGATGTTGTGCTTGGTTGCAAACTTTATGGTGTTGGAAATCTGAGCCGGGCTGGTAACATTCACGCTGTAGCGCACATAGTTGCCCAGTGTGCAGGGCTTTGAAACGGGGTGGAACGGATCGCACGCACCCTCGGCAAAGAACGGTGCCATAACCGAGGAAGACGATTCATAGCTATTAAGAATCAGTACCTAGTACAAGCCGTTCGGTGTTATTCTACATGTATGGCCAACATACTGTTCCTCGGGAAGTAGCCATCCATCCTTCAAGACTGCACAGGTCGCAGCATTGTAGTTAGGGGAATGGCAAGGTGTGCCGAGAGGCACGGTTTGCACTAGTCGACCCTCGATGGTGTTGTTGAATTGAGACCACTCAGATTCAGTGGGCCAACAGGAGTCTCCGGGGAAGCAATGGCAGGCCTCGGAGGCCGAAGCCTGAGGTAGAACCGCCAACAGCGAAGCAATGAGAGACGCGCGGAAAAACATCACGGATTGGCTTGGCTTTCATGCAAGTGTGTCAGGTTCTCTTAAATATCCCGAAATTATGCACAAGAAAAAGATAACAAGCCAGGGGTATTCGGGTATTCGCTTAGAACATAGAACAATCCACTCTATTGACGCTGGCAATCTATGGCAATCTATCTTTGCAGCTAAGACAGGCGCGGGCTCTGTTAGCCTTGGAGAACAATGCAGTGTTCCTGGACTCATTGGCCGAGCCAGCCACACATGGTGCCATTTCCCCACCTTCAAACATACTGCAGTTTTTGGAAATTTCCTCAAACTTTATCGGTGAGACGGACATTCCGAGGTTGCAACCTTGGAAGGCTCGTGCTTGCCCAACGGGTGGTCCCTTCCGATAATATCCATGAATGTTCGTTTCATGGCTTGGAACACATGGTTTGAGATAATTCCAAGGCTCAGGTGCAGATCTTCACCTCTTTCTTGGGAAACTAGTAATAAATAATTAAATAATTAGTGGATCTATGGATCGATTCATGGACACTTTGTTAGATCTGGCCTTCTGCTTTCAATGTTCTCAAATATGGTGTTTAACCCTTTTTTCTTTTCTAGACCGCACAGTCCGTAGAGTGCATAATCCAAAATCATATTCATGGATTCTAGTAGCTTTTACATATCTAAGATAAGGCAAAAAAATAAATAAACAAATAAACAAATATAAAACTAGAAAATTAAGCAGAAAAGAAAAAGAAAAAGTGACAAATTATATAATTTATGTACAACATATATGAATCAAGAACCCTGTTTTTTTGTGCATCTAGTGCTACAACTTAATTACGCCAAAAGTATAAGCCCCCGCCTCGCCCCACCCGAATCGTCAATCTGGTGTATATTGTACGGCTTGCCAGTGGACCCGGAATAATTATGAATAAGAATACCACATCCCCTTTCGGAGGCCAAATTTCTTTACATGTTTGTGTGATAATGATTAAATCATGGGCTGGGTATACAACCTCCATGAGACCGATCTAAATAGCGAGATTTCTCGAGTGATCGCGGTCTGCTTGGTGTGCTCAATTCTAGCTTTCCTGTCCGTATGTCTGCGGTTTTACGTGCGAATAAGCAACAAGCGTTTTCCATGGATTGATGACTATGCGGCACTAGTAAGCTCACTGTTAACGTTAGCATACGCGGGGGTTGCTGTCGCTCGTGAGTCGATACCTTGATCAGCCAATGTTAAATTTGGAATTGACAGAATGACTATCTCAGAGACACGATGGGGCCAAGGACTCACCGCCGCCTATTTTCCAAAGGAGAACGTTATTCCATTTAGCAGGGTACTCATCGCAAGACCAACATTGTTCGATCTCGAGCCTGACACTAATTTTTGTCCATAGATCCAATATACTGGCGGCCCGATCTACTGTCTCGCTGTCCTCGGATTCAAAGTCGCCTTGTTATCCTCGTACCTGCGCATTGCAGGAATTATCAAACCATATCGCAAAGTTATAGCTGCCGCCATCGTTGTGTGTGTCGTCAACCAATTGATTTTCGCCATTATCATATCAGTCTCCTGCATACCGGTTAGCCTCTCCTTCTCCAACGCACATTGATCGGTGAAAATGATATCTGACATCAAACAGGTCGCAAAACAATGGGATAGCTCTCTCAAGGGGAGTTGTATCGATACCATACCATTCTACTTTGCCCTTGGAGGCACAAGCATCGTGCTAGACCTGATCATCATCGCACTCCCTCTGCCAGTCCTTTGGAAACTCCAGCTCCGCCTCAAACAAAAAGCCCTCCTGGGTTGCCTGTTTGCTCTCGGATTTTTCGTGACCGTGATCCAGATAATCCGCATCCTCACCGTCTGGGACTTGAAAACCTACACCGACAGCAAGAATATCGTGATATGGTCTTGTGTGGAGATCAGCCTGGGTGTAAGTAAGATTTTGCTATTTCTTCAAGTCCATTTCCATTTTTCGAGTCCAAGGACAAACTAACGAAACAAAAATGCATAGGTTATCATCGCCTGCATTCCCACATACGGACCTCTGTTCAAGTCCTTCGCTTCCACTGTGAACTCATACCGAAACCGCGACACTTCGCGTACTTACGCGCTTGACTCTGTTCGCCAAGGAACGGGGACGGGGACAGGGTATGGGCGCAGCAAGAGCAATTTCGACCCTATATATGAGTCCGAAGCGCAGCAGGCTACCAATATCCGATCCGGGTCGCAATCGAATGATGGGGATAGCGAGAAGCATATATTATCGGAACCAGACAACTTAAAAGTTTATGTGACTTCGGAGTTTACAGTTAAGTCTGGCGCTGCTCCTTGATCTGGGTTGGGTCTTGGTGTTATGGGACTTTGAAGATTGGGGGCGGGCGGGGGTTTGAACAATGAGACATGGAATTACATATATCTGATACCAAACACATATTTCCTCTGGATATACCGGTTAGATATTTACAATGGCCACATATTCATATATAGTATACCCCCTAGGTTGGTATAATGGATATCCGGGCGAGAGAATGATAGATCAAGATCTCCATTCATAGGCAACGGGGAATTCTGGCGAATTTGCCCTTTGGCTATCAAAACAATGAGATTGAAATCGAAATCTATAAGCAGCCAGTATAGCTAGTAGCAGCCCATTTACTCAGCAAAAGAATCTGTGAAAGCACAGTGTATGTAACAATGAAAAACAAAGTGGGGGAATCATATGAACATGTATCATGAAACATGGAACGGGTTTAAAGCTTGCGCCTGGGTTCAGTCATATTCAAGGCACCGATGATTATAGTTCGATGCCGGAGATTTGAGAGTTTGTGACGGGACAGACAATCGGGACATCTAGAGGGGAAGTGTGGGTGATGAAATCGGAGCAAAGATTGAGATGAACTGCAAGGAAAGGCCTGCAATAGGTCCCTGATACTATGCAGTGTACAGTGTTGGAATCGAATAGAATAAGGTTTGGGCATTTTTTCATAGCGATGGGTCTGTTTTCCATGTGCCTGGAATCAAAATGTTAGTACGATGTCCACATGAGACTAAATGAACGTCAAAGATAAAGACGTACCTCCGAAATTGTGTTTCACGAAAGCCATGGGGTCATCCGTATCTCCCGCACCCATTTGCCCCACACCGGGGCTGAAGCTGGTAATGGGTAGAACAACCACATCACCAACCTTGCGGTGTGTGGTCTGGTGGCTGAAGTCTTCGTAGGTAATATTCTTATCACCAGGCTGGATATTGAAGTATTCCGGGTTGTTGAAGTAGCGGAAGATAGAATCCGTCCAGGCCCCAGGCCCCGTGAACTCCATAACAGTTTTATCCATCCTGCCAACCTTGAGGATGCCCGCCTTTTTCATTCGCAGAGCATTTTCGGTGATATAAGCCACCATATCACGAAGAATCGGGTGCCCGGGCTTCGACACAAACGTCCACTGGCAGAACTGAAGGCGGCGCGAATACCAGTCATGCCAGTCATCGCGGTCAGGATCAGCCTCGATTCCAACAATGAATCCGATAGTTGATCGATCAAGTTCCTCAGGGAGCCACGTGTGCGCGGGTCTAAGTGCCGAAGTGTCGATATCGCTGTATACTCCCCCGCGAGCTAGAAGAACCAAGTATCGGAAGAAATCCGCCTTCATGACGCCGAGTGGCAAAGAATCATATGCTTCGAATACTTCAGGAACTGATCCATATAGATATTTGATCAGGTGTTGCTGTGTCTCATCAGGGATGACTTCATGTGTGAACCCGGGGTGCATCTCTGTCCAGCTGGCCTCCGGACCGCGAAGGTCTTCGTCAAACCAGAACGATGCCGGGTTGTATTTCCATGTTTGCCAGATGTATGCGGGGAATCTGTTTTCGATTTCATATGGGAATTGATACCGGAGACGTTCGCGGAGCGGTGCTGTCAGTGATGCGCCGAGGGGTAATTGGGCTCGACCTTGCGGTGGTGTTTTCCGTGCCGAATTTGCTATCGCGTCATCCTCTTCTTGTGATATCTTCTTTACCGGTCTGTACCCAGGCGCCCCAGGAACCTCAGGATCTCGGAACGAGCGGAGGATCAGAACGAAGCTAACTACGCAGAGCAGGGCGAACAGCACCTTGCGCGGAGTGATCATGACAGGCTATGGGGCTGGTGTGGTCGGGAGATAAACTGCTGGTTTTGCGATAGCTGTAGATTGGCTGAAAGATAGGAATCAAGGTCTCCGTGCTTTTGTATTCCGTGATCCGCGAGCCCGGGAAATTTGAATATTCTTGGTTTGCGATTCGTTCGGCGGGTGTGGCAGTCGAGCGATTCCAAATCCTAGACTAAATAAATCGAGAGGGTGACATATCGATATGCGGAAGTCTTGGATGTGACCTCGATGGTCGGAGATACGGTCAACCCAGAATCGGAATAGGAGGCGTAAAAAAAGCCAGTAAGAATTGCCGGTCACTCAGTAGTACCATAGAACAACAAGGAGAGACGAATAGAAGAGCAGTCCACGCTGTCTAGCAGCGAGTAATTTATCGCCTTGCTGGCTAATTTTGTTAGATGTCCACGAGTCGAGTAAGAGGATTGCGTATGCCGGAAGCAGCTTGCAGGTTGGGTGGAGCCGCTCACGTGGTCTTAGAGATGTAACTTAAAAACCATAACTATCTTTGACAGTGATCGTTCTTACATAGTTTATTCGTTGTTCTATCTTTAAATTTTTCTTTTTTTTTTTTGACATATTGACAACATTAACGAAACATTTTCCCTGCTACATAAATTACTTAGCTTTATCGGAGCACCCCCACATGAGGTGCTTGTTGCTCTTCCAGAATCGGCGATGATCATCCCGAGATAAATGATTCATGACATAAGATTAAGTCAAACATTATTGACACCTCTTCATCCGAGAACTGCAGAATAGAACTACCCTATATCTATCGCTTAAATCAGTTGGTTTTGTGTCCTACATGCAAGGGTGGTTTAATGCTTATCTGCTGCAAGCTCCGATAGTGACATAAGCTTTGCTTGGTCTGGGAGTTTGACATGGAACTCGCATTGTAGAGCCAACAACATGCTTTCACCAAAAATCACACCAGATCTGCTAATCTCTAGGAATTTCGGGGCTGCTTAATTTTATTGGCAATGTGGCCACGTGGACGACGAGCAAGTGCATATGTACCAAAGAATTATGTACGAAGGGGCCATGTGCTGCTAACAGTTTTTTTGAGACAATTACGAGAATACCTGTTCTTTTGGCAAATGACTATGTATGTAGGTATATATATAAATATGGAGTTCACAATTTTAACTTTTCTCGTGTGTCTTGTCTTCACTTTTCGTGTTGCCGGTTATTGGATGAAAGAGGGATACAAATCAAATGGCACAAAATAGTACATGTCTTGAGAAATACAAATATGAACCAGAATAGTAGGCCATTTATGCGGCCCTATGTTGTCTTTGGGAAGTCTTTTTAGATTTCCATCTTATAGATATTTGCCGCCTTGTTGGTGATGTAGCTAGAATATAGGTGAAGCTTAAAATGTGTAGAACGGTTTTTCCATGTATAATCTTTGATTATTAGGGATGTCGGTAAGAGGCCAGATGGCTTATGCCTTCTCATTATACCCGTAGAATTTTTTTTTGGATCTTCACCCTCATCAGCAATATCTCGCTCTAATGAATTACATACCCTTGGCCCTGAAGGAGCCTGGCTGCGAATAAGAGCAACTCCCTCGATTACACCATCCCACCCACCGGCCATGATCTTCGTTGGATGCGTGTCGATCAAACCGCGATCAAGCAATGCCTGAACTGCCGCAAAGGCCTCCGCCCCAAATTGACGGTATTCGGGCTCGGCCGGGCGTCTATAATCGCCATCAAGGGCCACTTCGTGGCCGAATAGGGACAAAACCATCAGCCAAGACGGTTCCACTGTTGGTCGGGTCTGGGTGACTGCCGCACGGAACGGCTCGAGGGAGACATAGCGACCGCCCGCCCGTCCGATGACTTTGTAGCATAGTTCTGTTGTGTCCGCCAAACTGACACAGTCAAGTGCGTAGGCTAAATGGCCTTTCATGTAGGCGCGAATGTCCGAGGCGCAATCAGTAGAATGATAGTCAAAGACTTTATCTGCGCCGAATTTGAGCGCGAGATCGAATGGGCGGGTGTACAAGCCGCGATCGGTCGTAACCCGGCATTGGAAAAAGGACAAATATTTAGCCACCCCCGTTATGCCACATAAATGATTCACTAGAAATGCTCACAGTTTTAACAACTGGATCGTGCGTGTTTCTGTGGCAGCCCTGCCACAGCAACCAAGACGAACTCGCCCTTCGAAGCATCCCCGTTGGCTTTAGTCAGCTGTTCCAGAGACACAGGGATGTGCAGTTTATGGAACAGCCCAAAGGCCACTGTTCCCATCCCAACGCCTAAGGTCGCCGCTTCCTCGAAGCTCAGAGAATCAGGAATTTTCAACAGATCAGCAGTAGCACTAACGTATTCAGCGAAGGCCCTGATTCTAGGCTGTAAGCAATTTATCCTATGCACGAAGCCGCTACACGGTCCCCCACCGCTAGTCTAGCCCGGACGTTTTCCCTTAACGCAACGATAGTTCCGGCAAAATCGTAGCCATGAATGGCCCCCGGGGCAGCAGAGTAGTCTATCATCTTTGCGTCGGCCGGATTGATGGCTACGGCGGCTGTCTTCACCAGTGCCATGTCGGAAATTAGAGTGGGAATAGGTAAATTGTGTTGAATACCGAGCTTGCCGGGGCCTTGCGCTATGACAGCTGTTTGGAATTGAGGTAATTGAGGGGATTCTACGAAAGTCATGCTGGAATTAGAAAAAGCGTGAGGAGATCTGGTTCACCCTCTGTCGTGTTCGTTGTGCTTTATCCAATACCAACCACCATATGATCTCGGCGCTGTAAGGATGTAGAATGTCTATCTCTTTGTGTTCAACATTCAGTATCGGCGCACCGGTCTGTCAATCTTAGAATAGCGCCGACGATGACAAATGTAATGGTCCGAATGTTTCGAGCGAGACAGGCTGCGAGAAAGCCAAAGAATGAAAGACATTTTCGGCTCAAAACTCCGTCGTTCCCCTTTCTATACCCTGTAAGTCGGTCGAATATTTCCCGACGGCGTAACTTCCCTTCCTACCTTCGTATAAATTCATGTATTGTTTGCCTTTCTGATCTCTGAGATTTCAAAAAAATAAAATAAAATGGCAGCAATGGTTATGCGAGTATTCACGGCATTCGGCCCCCCGAAAGTCGAAAAGAAGAACGATGCTATCCGTTTCGGGATCCTGGGGGCCGCCCAGATTGCGTGAGCCGTATTCAATGCTTAATCGCGCTTCGCTAACATCTTCAGACCTCTCGCCTTGATCACACCCGCCCTCTCACATCCCGATGTTATTGTGCAAGCGATCGCCGCTAGAGACTATACTCGTGCCTCAGCATTCGCCAAAAAGCACAACATCCCCGATGTTCGCACATCCTATGAAGGTACGTTAGACTCGCTGACTAGAGAACCGCGACTCACTATGAACAGAAATCCTTGAAGACCCCAAGATCGATGCAGTTTTGATCCCTTTGCCCAATAGTTTGCATTTTGAGTGGGCAGTACGCGCTATTCGCGCCGGCAAGCACGTCCTTCTAGAGAAGCCTTCGGCCTCTAACGCCACCGAGGCCGAGATCCTCTTCACCTTACCTGAACTGTCACAGCCAAATGCCCCCGTACTGCTTGAGGCCTTCCACAACCGGTTCCATCCTGCAGTGCACAAGTTCCGCTCCTTTATCACCCCGGCTGATGTCGTCCACGTCTACACAGACTCTATGATTCCAGGGATATTACTCGATAAGGATAATATCGGGTTTAACTATAAACTCGCCGGCGGTAGTATGATGATGCTAGGCACATATAACTTCGGCGTTATCCGTATGGTCTTCGACGATAACCCCGTGGAGTGTTTAACCTGCGAACCTGGCATCTTCGGCGACGGTATCCATGACCAGTGCGATACCGACTTTAAAGCTGAATTCCGGTTCCCGAACGGCGGTATTGCCGAAGCTTCTACCACTATGCGCGGGTCTATCTGGTGGAAACCGTCCGAAGCCCGCGTCACGCATAAGGAAGTTATCGTCGATGATAAGGCCCTCCCGGAGACACAGGAAAAGCTACGCACTCGGATCGTGACGCTGCACGGGTTTATCCACGCTTTTATCTGGCACCGTATCGATGTTAAGGATACCTTCGTTATTCGTAACAAGGCTGATCGCAGGCCACTCAAGACTTGGACCGAGTCCCAGTCGTGTAAGGCTTATAGTTACAAGGAGGCTGGGGGTGAGTTTGCGAACCTCCCCGGTGAGGACTGGTGGATGTCATATCGGTACCAGCTTGAGGAGTTTGTCAATCGTGTTAAGGGATGCCCTACGCACTATTGGGTTGAGGGTCAGGATTCATGGGATCAAATGAAAATGATTGACATGGCGTATGAGAAGAGCGGGCTGGGATTGCGACCAACAAGCGAGTTCCGTTGATTGAGGTGTTTTGAGAGAAGGTCAAATTTTAGCATTTGTGCTGTCTTGTTTTTGTTGGTTCTGCACTTAGGGTAATACTATCTATTTCTACTTGTCAGCCAATAGACTCTAATCCCTTGCCACTTGGGCTTCAAATTTATTTTGTGGACTTGAGCGATCATTCTACTTGGGTGGCTTCAAAGGAGACCATGCGTAGTTATGCCGTGTCTAACGATATATTCTGGTAGACAAGTTCCTGATTAAATGGAGATAGACGCGCTCCTATAAGCTGCCGTAAACATCACCATATTCAACCGGGAAATCAACCGGGAAATCAACTGCAGTCCCGTCACTTTTTCACTTCTACGCCAACTATACTTCGATCGATTTGTCTGACCCATCTGTGCCCTCTGTGCCCTCTGCCCTCTGCCCTCTTAGCTGATCAACACCGATATTGCAAAGGGGTCCGCGCCCTCTAATTTTCGTCCGTTCACGCTCACCCTACTTTCGCACTCCTTGATAATTTCCTAGTTTTCTACAATTACTCTATAATGCCCTTCTTGGGCTATTTAAAATTACTCTAGCTTCTACAGTATTTTCCGTCTAAAACTTGATATATTTCGGACATGGGAAATGAGCTTGACTTTCTACAAAGCTTTATCGATCTATACACACTAAATATATAACCCACTGTATACGAACACCGAAACGCAAATATCATGATGGAAGTGCGACCCATTCTACCCCCAAGTTCCACAGACTACTTAAACACCTTGAAAGCCCCAGGAACGGCGGTCTGGAAAAGGCCCTTGAGATCGTATTTCTTGCTGACCCTTCTAAGCGTTGCCAAGTCGCCGTAGGTGCCGATCGAGTCTTGGTTTGAGCCAGCGTAGTTCAGGTATGTCCAATTAAGGAAAAGACCCGCTTTCTTCAAGATGTGCACGTGCTGGTGAAATATGTTCTGCACAACTGCCTGAACGACGGCGTCGGCCGCGTTGTGGTGTGCCGCACCAATGTCAACGAGGACCAGATCCTTGACGTTGGGTTCGAGACCCAAAGAGTTTGTGCCATTTGTGACCGGAATCAGTTGCATGAGGAAGTCAAACACCAGACCTTCCACTTTGCAAAGTTTGTCGGCGGCGCGTTGGAATATTGTGAACAATTGCGAATACACGGCTAGGTTAGTACTCTTAAAGGAGTAATTCATTTGCGTTGCACTAAACCAGGAGTCATTAATTCAGCAGTGAGACACTATGATTTGGAAAAAAGGAACTTACAGAGAAACAGTAGAGGGGGCGAGGACTCCGGAATTGGTGACGACTGTCGTCATATTGGCCACAATCAAGGTGTTCGCAACTTGACCGGGGATGTCAAAGAACTCCTTGTAGACTGTTGGCGTGAGCTCCGGATTTAAGTAGTAGAGCGCATCGGAAGAATCCAGCTCCCAGCCTGCCAAGCATGGCGCAACAAATGTGAAACATACCGCGTGAACGACAATGTGCCTCTCATGAAACTATTGATAGGACGTGGCGCCAGCCTAAATACTAAACTTGGCAACGGGTCAACACTATTGCACGCTGCTGCTCTCCATTGTTCACAGAATGGGGCAATCTTGAAAGTCCTCTTGAGACATGGTACTGCATTACAATTTGCTGTCATGAGCCGTGGAAACCTGGAGGTTGTGAAAGTGCTACTCAGCTATGGAGCCAGGATCAATGAAGAAGATAACGAGGAAAGGAACACGTTGATGATAGCTGCAAAGCACAAGTTCAACAACACTGTCATTAGCTATCTAATCAAGACCGGCGCCAAAGGCGATTCTGGGAGGTTAGATGCGAAGAGGCGGGTTCGGCGCGCACAACTCTGGCACAATTTCACTGGAAAGCTCAAAGTTGGTGATTAGAGTGGCTGAGCTACATCTGCCCGATGAAGCATGTTATGATATGGTCGGAAGTTTACATTTAAATGTTTCTACACCTTACTCGAAATAATTCTGCAGTAGTAGTAAACTTTTTGATTACTGACTCGTTTAGAAATCCTTTCAATAGTAAATTGTATCTATAATGCCGTACGAAAAGTGCTATACAAATATAGAAGCCCGAGAGCGAATCACTCGTTAAGAGCAGGTGAATTAAACAATTCGTTCGAAAGATTTAGAACTCTTCTTATGGAGTGTAATATATAGGTAGCATCACACAGGTGCAGCCTGAGTCCATCTAGTATAGATTACATCAACAAGGACCATCCGATTGTTGTAACATAATACCCTTGTTTTTCCTGTTTGCTTTGCCAAAACCAGAGGACCATGGGTTTACCAGCACCTATCTCTGCGCAGTCATGATGTATCAAGCCTTCTATGACTTGTTTCTACCTTTCGGAGATGTTAAGAAGCAGTTGGCTGACTGTAACTGCGCAGCGTTAGTACTAACCCCGGGGCCATGAAGACATCTGACTCCGCTCATGAAGGACCCCGGGATGGGGCGATGTTGCTGTAGTTTTTCTTCCCAAGAGAAGTCTGGGATGTTTCTTAATGACATTCTGACATCCGGTTAAGCCAATGACGACCAACTCCCGCTTATCATTCTGCCCTCCTTATGATCATTTTGCCATGATTTACGTCGACTGTGATGGCAAGCTTAAAGTTGATGAATCATCTTCTATTCAAAAGCAAAACTCCACTGTTTTCACCCCATGAAGTTCGTCAGAACTTCCTCGGGATTCTGGGTAAGCATATCAGCTACCATGCCTCTGTTTGCCGTACGTCATAGTTCTATCTATTCTCCCTTCTCTTCATCTTCTATCCAGAATGTGAGGGTCTTAGGGACAGGACACAAAGTATTAGAAGACGAAAACCACAAAAAGAGCATTTGAACAGCAGGATAAATCCTTTAAACATTCACGATCTCATTGCTACTAGGACCCTCTGAGTGGACCGCTAAAGCAGCGTTTAGTTAGTGCATAGTAAGAACAGGACCTAGCCCTATCATGATAGGTCTTATAAAGGCCATTAATCCGTTCATGTAACAGTAGGCATTGTATAGATATACATTGATTTGATATTGGAGTAATGGCCTAAATTTAGCTTCGGCAAGAGGTAGGTAACTGAAGCCACCTATCCATACATTCTTACTATATTATTCCTGAACCGAACCTCGTTCAATACTTTGGTTTTTGATTGACCCAGAACTTTCCAAGGTTGCGTCCTGCCTAGGTGAACCTATCAAATGATACAAGCAATTTGTTTACTCAGATCCTCGCAAACCCCGCCATCTATATCGCTATAAAAACTGCCTATAAGAAATGGTGAGTATCGCGAATAGCATATAGGACTTTTCAATGATTGATATGATGACGATCTCATCCTTACCATCTAGGCAGCTGTAGATGTTCTTAGGAAGGCCTTTATTGGGATCGGCTCTATTAAGTCGTTAGTTTTCTATGCAAATTTGAGAATGAGTAGAAAGACTTGCGTATTGTGGCATCCGTTTTTATTAGAAGCAGCCATAAGCCCAGCCCCGGGGAGGAATATAGCAAATTTCTCAAGGGTAGGACGCATTATTCGTATTTGTATATTGATATCAATTCAAACGTAGGAAGATAGGAGTGTAGGTTAAGGATAAAGGCCTATTAGAGTATAAGACTATAGGGAAGCACGTATATGAAGTTCTTAAGAAGTCTTATATCCTACTACTAATAAATCACAATACGTAGTATGACATAAATAGTATAACACAAATAGTATAACACGTAGAATAATAGGTAGTATAACAAGTAGTATAATATAAATAACACGCAGTATAATATATAGTATAATACGTAGTATATTCTTAGGACAAATAATTTGAACCATATAGCACTAATAGGAAGTATATAGCTCTAAACTTCGTTATACTTATTTAAGAAAAAGAGAGAGAGAAACAACCACTTCACCCCTAAATTTAGATCATTAAAACATTACGATAAAAGTTCTACTTAACTTCACTCTACTTAGCACCCTAGCTACTCTTAAAGTTGCTACGTCTATTCTAGCCTCCCTTTATAACGACAACCGTCCTTAGATTACTACGACTAAAGACATTTATAATCTCCTAGAAGGTTTTACTTAGGATATTGTGGAGCGGCCTAGATATAGTAATATAAGGGCTAAAATCCCTATATCGAACGTAGACCTTTAAACGGATAGTCTTAAGAAGCGAGCTATGGGAAATACTTGCACGGGGGTTAATAACGAACGACAATTTCAGTCCTAAAGATCAGCCGGGGAGTCTATACTGATCGAAATGTAGCATCTAGGGAGCCCCCCTTTATAGGATAACTGCCATACACTAGGAAATATAATTGAAAATTATGCAGCTACCGTCTACGTATAGCCACTTTATTATTACGAAGCGACTTACGGGAGCTGTTTGGGCTATGTTTGTGCTAAGTGCTGCTAAGTGGCACTGAATATAGACGTATAGGCTCGGGTTTACCGTGCTACTATTGCCCATTGTGTTGGTTCTAGAGAGGCTGGGTACGCAAATAATGATTCGAATGATTTGTATGAAATTGGTATTGAGCACTCGGGAGATGAACTGCCTCCTTACAATTGTTGATTGGGGATTTGTATACGGGATTAGATCTGATGCTCTTGGCAGATTTCTGTTGTAATAAATCTAAGCTAGAAGCTGATGTGACATGGGGCAACCAGAAGAAGGCGCGACGTGTATTGTATTAGCAGCTTTGATCAGTCGAAATACACGTTCTTATCTTGAATCGCGGAAAGCAAGCCTCGTAGCATATATATGCATAGATAATAAAACTACAAGATGTTCTAACCCAGAGGTATATCGTAGCCAGATCGGTATAAATTATACTACTAGAACACATGGTACGAACGAAGAGATTGTGCGAAAACTGTATAGAGGACTACCTATTACAGCAATAGAAAACCTATAAGTGAGGAGAAGGCTGGTAGGGATTTTTTTAAGTATCAGATCCCCTTGTCGTACTATATGCTTAAAACCCTCGTCATTTTGAACCTGTGATACGACCGTAGAGGTGTTGTTGGATTTCATGGCCCTGCGAAATGGTGATCTTCCGTGGGATTGTCGTGGCTTATTGATAGAGGTAAATCCTCTTCTATGGTCGACCATTGCATTCATTACCAACAGGTCCCATGCTTGTTCCGTGGGAATGAATGGTGACCATACCTTCTTCCTTTGTTGCTATCTATAAGCCAATCCTGGAGCAAGCCAGATAATGCTTTCAAGAAACTATCACTAGATTCACTAGACTGGTCCTAAGAGCGGTGATCACTTTCGTTACCCGTCAAGAATTCTCTAGACTTGATTTTCGCTTTCTTTGAACAATCAATCTAGAGATCAAAATCGACGACTTCAGTCTGTTCGCTCGTCGTGTGCGTTCCGAGTAATTGTAGAGATATATTCGGCGGAGACGCTAGCTGCGTAAGCAGAGAGGTTCCAGGGTTCTGGATCGTGGATACCATTCCTCTTTGTTAGTGGTTATACGAAACCTTACTGAATGAGATATACTCAAATAAGGGAGAGCTGGGGGGAAGAAGGGGCTCTCTACTCACTTATAGGGTGTGGATTGGAAATATATGACGTATAGTCCCACCTTACAGTGCCCGTTGTATTAAGGGAGGTCGGCAGTATTTTTTATTCTCGTATTCTTTATGTAATAGTAAAAGGATACGACCAGGGGGCGAGATTGGAGAAAACACCAGAGAACCAACAAATTTCAGTGCGTGACGGCCCCTACAGCTGATAGCCGCTGATCGTTCATAGCAAGCGAATTGCGTTATAAACTTGATTGTTATATCTCCCCCGAGGCGTTGGGAATGTGATCACCCACGGGAGGTTTCAGAGGCGGGTTGGTATACATGTGAGCCGTTTCTTAAATATAACCTATATACGGGACTAGTAATTGTCTAGAGATGTATACAAGTTAGGCAGCCATTTCTGGCTATATCTCCGGATATGAAACCCCCGATAGTCCGAGTGTGTTGTTTGAAGACTATATAATTTTAGTCGAATGTCTAAGAATGACTACTTATTCTACTTAGTGCATAATAATCAAAGTCCAATCGCCTATAGTATTTATGACTACCTCGCTTCATTTCTCTAGAAAAAGCAATTCAGGCACGAATGACCCTACCCACGACCTTATATTACTAATTCCTACAAAATCTCGCAAAATAGTTCGACTAGAACAATATAGGTGATTATCATAAATACTTCAATGAGGGGTTGAGACATTGAGCAGGGTATAGATTCCCAGTGCTGTAACAATGCAGGGGTACAATAGGACTAGGATAGTAATGCGATAGTCAAAAGGAGCTCCTAATTTAGCTCCTTTATTATTCTGTTGTAGCTAGGTATGCTGTTTTTCAAACATCTATAAAACCTGTCTTGATCTCTATAATGATGGGACGAGTGGAAGGGAAAAAAATAAAGAAGAGGGAGCTAGCAAAGAGCTAGCCGAACTACTCATATGTCTCAGATGCTGTCACTAGCTTTTCCCCACGGGTGAACATGGTGATCAGCCACTCTGGGTTCCAAATTACTGCACAGTATATCTGGTCATAAGTCGGTATGGGGTGTGGCTGAGAAAGAGATAGCATGGTTGGGTGACATGGTTGGGAGGTTCGTTTATAGTAAATAACACTATATCATGAGTGTAAACGAAATCCGTGATATAAATACTAACATCTCCGAAATAACCAGCAGCCACGAAAACCTCAAACTGATTTCGAATCTCTTCTCGAGATGCCACTAGAAAATGAAAATAGGGGACACTACTCGATAAATATGATTTCTAGCCCGGAGGCAAATATCTTCTAAGACTTCTAGCAATTCACCAACAGGTTCAGTACCGAAAAATAGGCTGAACACCTCCAAGCACCCATTATAAACCCTAGAGACCCTACTATAGGACGTAGAGTCTTAGACCAGATATACGATAGTTCGAACCCTTACCCTTAGGATATAGGGTTAGGCCCTTCTTCCGATAATACTAAGTTTGAAACCTCTACAACCAGATGCGAATACCAATTGAGTCTCGAAGACGAGCTCCTTCTCACCCTAAGAAATAAGAGGAGTATAACATAGAGGGAGATTAGTGTTTCTTTTGAGAATGTTTTTGGGAGGCGATACCGTGCTCCCGCTCTGTAGATGAGGTATATTCGGCTCTAAAAGCGAATGCGCCTGAATACCGACAAAGATATGTCTGCATTGTTTCAAGCCTACGCTTACTAGCTGAATGTGAAATAGTAAATAAGTAGTGAAAAGGTAAGGTAAAATAAGTTTCAGTGATCTCCACCTCACACTATATGGCTTATCTCACATTTTACTATGAGCTTGGCCATGGAGAACAGTGGACTGCTAGCTACTATTCGTCTAGGTAGATAGCTTATCATCGGCCACATAGAGACTTGAATTAGACTTAGTGATATACATTCGTCCATAGAAGATTTAGGCTTTTACTCTAGGGGACGGTAATACCACAAGCTTTTATCAAAAGTTTCTCGGAGACCGATTTGCCGTACGAAGGATCAAAGGTTAGCGATGTGTTTGTCAATGGGAATGGCGACTAGTTAGGTAGTTTCTATTCTACGCAGTCTCCGCTAAATCAGCAAAGCTTGGACTTATGACAAGTCACAACTGAATGAAGCCCCTCTTCCTTTAGATCCCTCCCCAGAGGTCTCAAGCTTCCTCTAGTGTGTTTATTTCAGGTAACGACCTGCAATGTAAGATTCTAGTATTTGTTTCTATCGAATACCAAGTCTGAATACATAGTAGAAACCAGGTATTATACCGGAAACATCATATGACATTGGGTACTAGGCATACCATACAAAAGTGTATATTATAGTAGTCATCGATGTCCGTATAGATTGTTGAAATAGCGGATTTTGTTATTTTAGTTAGAGCTGTTAATATTAGTTATCTATACTATAACTATATTGTTCGTATACTAGCATTCTATTAGTTATAAGCCCGGAATCGTTCTATTAAAAGATCCATTTAAATAAGATTAACCTCGCTATCGTCGAAATTAAGGCTAAAGTAATACTATATCGTTACCCGCCCTCGCCGAAGTAACCCCTAAGATAACCCTTAAATTAAGAATCGGAATTCTATCTATAAAGGATAACGAATAACGAATATAATAAATATAACTAAATATCTCACTATAGGTGTATCCTCTCGTATTATACTAAAGGATATAACGATATAAAATATATAGCTAGCTAATATCGAATCGATTTTAGTATAATTTAACGTATAGGAGCTATATAATCCTAGTAATAGGAAATCCGGCACTAATTTTATGAATACGGTTGAAGCTGATTGAATTTCTTGATCTGAGTATTCCTTGAGAGAAAATGTGTCACCGAGAGAGTGAGACAAGGAGAATCGAGACCCACCAAAAATAAACTTAGATAATGATCTTAATACAGAAAGCTAAACATAGCCAAAATCAAGTACCACTGGATGAAGGACAGAATTCTACTATTGGATAGGGTGAACCCTTTCTTCCGCACCTCTAGTGGGTAAACAGAACCCTCGGAAGGAAACAACTGTGTTGCCTGGACAGAGCCCGTTGGCTCAGATATAGATTTCAGCGAATCAAGGCCGTTGTTGTGGATTTCGATTTCATGAATGCCCCCACCCCGTTAGGACTAATCTACAAATAGAAAGTGATCACCGACTGATTGGTTTTGCAGGAACAATCTCATTGGACTGATTCGTGGTTATTGACACCCGCAAAAGCTTGGGTGTGGATATATATTTTCCCTTTTACTTCCCCAGGTCTCAAACGTAGATTAATGAGGGTAGAATCTAACGACATCAAATACCACGGATGGCGTGCTTGGAAAAAGTCAAATCCTCCGAGGCGTCAAATCGTACAATAGGGTTTATGGTACAATCCCCGTGGTGTCTTAGTGTGGTTAACCTTAGAACCTTGGAACCTTGGAAGGCTTCTCTGTTTATTCCTTTGACTTAAAGCCAATCAGTTGTGTCTCGGCTTATTATCCCTGTTTCACATCATTTGAGTTTATCCCTCGGATGCATGTATAATAAAGACCCTGTAGACTCGCCATTTGTCTCTCTTTTCTTTCATCTCTCGCTAACCTCCGTAATCAATTCTCAAAGCTCATTGTGGAAAGTCATTCACTATGGAATAGCCCGACCTTCCTGCGCTTACCCAGAGCCTTAGCCACACACGACGGCGTATTTTTGCACAAGAAATCCCAGCACCAACTCGTTTTCATTTCTTCTCCATCACAAAGAAAAAAAAAAAAAAAAATGGCGACTGTCATCTCGATTGTGCCGGAGAAATTAGTGGCTCACTCTGCCGTCCAGACCATCGCAGTTAATGAAATCTCAGATGGGGGCAAGATTCAATCTTCCTTGGAAGCAAAACCGGGAGCTGGAACAGAAAAAGAAACGCTTCTTTACCCGACCATGGGGACGACGTCAGATTGGGATACTCTGTGCTCTGGGGTTCCTTGGAATGGCCTTGACAGCACTCGTCGTTGCCCTCCCCGTCTATTTCACAAAGATCTATGGCTTTGTGAAAGACACTGACGACTATTGGAAACGACCCCAGCCAAATGAAGACCACAGCTACCAACTTGAGGAGAACCGGCCTAGTTTCGCCCTGCACAATTTCCCGGACCCGGGACTCATTCAGCACAATGGCACATGGTATGCCTACGGAACCAACCCCAAGAAAAGGAACCCCGGCAGTATCCATGTGCCTGTTGCCACATCGACCGATTTTATCAACTGGACTCTTCACGAGGATTATGACGCGATGTCGACTCTTGGCGCTTGGGAAAAGAAGGTGAATCATTGGGCCCCGGATGTGATCCAGCGGGTAAGTATACTCATGAGCATCATCCCATCCCGTTCCTTTATTCACATATACATTTCTAGGACGACGGCAAATTTGTTATGTATTACTCAGGAGAAGCCAAGAATTACGGCAGCCACCATTGTGTGGGAGTTGCCGTATCAAACGGTACAAGCCCACTAGGTCCTTATATCCCCGAAGACAAGCCACTCGCCTGTCCCCACAAGCACGGCGGTGCCATCGACCCATCGCCGTTCAGAGACACCGACGGCACGCTGTACGTAGTCTACAAGGGCGATGGAAACAGCGTTGGACACGGCGGCAACTGCAATAATAGCAAGAAGCCACTTGTATCTGTTCCGATTCTTCTGCAGGAGTTGAAGAGCGATGGCATCACACCCGTCGGAGAGCCAGTGAAAATCCTCGATATTGACGATACTGATGGTCCCCTTGTTGAGGCCCCTGATATCTTACTCACTGAAGACGGCACCTACTATTTGTTCTTCTCTTCGCATTGCTATGTTTCACTGGGCTATAATGTGAAATACGCATACTCAAAATCCCTCAAGGGTCCGTATGTGAGGGCTAATCGGCCTTTGCTGCAGACTGGTGATTGGGGTCTCGAGGCACCTGGTGGTGCGACAGTCTCGACTGATGGGAGAAAAATTGTTTTCCATGCTAATTGCGGTCAATTCCGGTGTATGTGGTCTGCTGCTATTGATATTCGATCCAACAACAATACGATTGTTATGTCGAAGCTCGTGGTTGACCAAAAGTCAAATTCTACGAAACCCACGGGGAACTCGTGAGCCAACAGGCAGATTGTGATACGTTTTAGCAACAAAGGTTTGCTATGACCTACTTTTCATGTTTCGGGCTTTTATTGCATCTAGCGTTGGGCGTTTTGGATATTCCATTTCTGGGAGTCGCGGTTTGTTAGTTGCATCGGTTTGTATAAGAATCAGCTTGGGGACTTAGCTGTGAGCGTCTTTTTTGATCCATTAAAAGGCAAATTTCGCATGCTTCCTACATATTTTCTTTGTTTATAAGCCCTCGAACACTTATTCACTTGATTTTTACGGTCCTCTTTATCAGCATAAGATAACCATGGGCCATAAAAGACGAGAGTACAGATTAACCCGCGTTGTTGTTATTCTAATTGGACGTATATAAAGAAATTTGTCCTTAAGTTGTCTGACAAAGAGTTGCACATAATATCTGCCGTATGTTATTATACATTGTATACTTCAATGCTCAGATCTCCGCCAATCACCGATGTCGGTGATGACGCGACTTCCAGTGCCTGAGGTGTCCACATATTTCTCCCCCCGATAGCTTTCAACCCGAGGAGCTCTCTTTCTTGACTCACACAAGTCTTAGGCTTTTATAATGCAATCTTTTCGAGGCGCCGCTCGAGCTGCTTCACGCGGAATTCGAACTCAGCCATGGCGACAAGGCAACTCCCCTGTGAAGTCCGCGGGACCGCATCGGACTTTATCGGCGCAATGGAGGACCGCACGCCCATTGCACACCGTGCCGCCGCGGAAGTCAGCGTCGGCCACTGCGGGGTCAACTGAGAGAGACTCCTCCAATCCAGCTATGTCGTTCCCCTGTCTCGACGCCCAAGAAGCAAAGTCAGCGCAGCTCTCTGCTCGGTCGCTGCAGTCCGGCCCCGAGCCTTCATACACTACCGGCCGACACGAATCATACCACTGTGAACAACCACTTCTGCTCGACTGGGGTGGTGTGCTGACTGAATTTGATGTTGCCTACGAGAGTTGGGGCCAATTGAACGACGATAAGAGCAATGCCATCCTTCTGCATACCGGCTTGTCCGCCTCAAGCCACGCCCATAGCACAGCGTCCAACCCAAAGCCCGGGTGGTGGGAAAAGTTTATTGGCCCCGGATTGCCACTGGACACCGATAAATATCACATCATTTGCACAAATGTCATCGGAGGATGCTATGGCAGCACAGGCCCGTCTTCACTCGACCCGTCCGACGGAAAGCGGTACGCAACCCGCTTCCCGATCCTGACTTTGGACGATATGGTACGCGCTCAGTTCCGGCTCCTTGACGGTCTAGGAATCAAGAAACTGGCTGCCTCGGTTGGATCCAGCATGGGTGGTATGCAGAGTCTCGCCGCAGGCGTCCTCTTCCCCGAGCGGGTCAACAAGATTGTGAGCATCAGCGGTTGCGCCCGCAGCCACCCTTACAGTATAGCGATGCGACACACACAGCGCCAGGTGCTGATGATGGACCCCAACTGGGCCCGTGGGTTCTACTACGATGGAATCCCACCCCACTCTGGTATGAAGCTAGCGCGCGAGATCGCAACCGTGACGTACCGTAGCGGGCCGGAGTGGGAGATGCGATTTGGTCGCCAGCGTGCAGACCCAAGCAAACAGCCCGCTCTCTGTCCCGACTTCCTTATCGAGACCTACCTCGACCATGCCGGTGAGAAGTTCTGCCTCGAGTACGATGCCAACAGTCTTCTTTACGTTTCCAAGGCCATGGACTTGTTCGATCTCGGCCATGCTCATCAGACTGCGACTCTGAAACGCCGCGCAGAGTCTGAGGATCGCATTGCACACGGCGGCGAAGCACCAAATGCCTCGGACCCCGCTTGCAGTCTGACCCTTCCAGACAAGCCCTATGAGGAGCAGCCCGGATCAAGCTCCAATGCGACCCCGCTGGACGAGTCCGTCTCTGCCGATCAAGTGGAAGGTCCTCCCCAGGATCTTGTTGCCGGCCTTGCGCCTCTCAAGGATCACCCTGTGCTTGTCATGGGTGTTGCAAGTGACATCCTCTTCCCGGCGTGGCAGCAGCGGGAAATCGCCGAGACACTCCGTGCTGGAGGCAACAAGAAGGTTGAACATATTGAACTTGGTGACGACTTGTCGCTGTTCGGTCATGACACTTTCTTGTTAGATCTCAAGAACATCGGTGGCGCATTGGGCAAGTTCCTGCGCTAGTCCCGTGGCGTGTTACGTCCGAGGCGATGAAAAATAATATAAAATCTGTACATTCGTCGTTAAGCGTGCGAATTTTGGCATTAAGCAGGCGTTTTACATTTACGAAATGACATACCTCTTCTCCGGTTTTATTTGCAGTTCTAAGAGATTGATGGATACCCCTAGCCGGTCTACAAGTAGCTATGGCACGAAAAGGAACATAAATGTCAACGGATTATTCCACTTGATTCTATCAACATACTGTAGGTACATGACGATGTCCACAAAAATAAAAGGAAACTCGCCCTCAGGTTGCTCTCGGATTTCATAACTGGCTTCCAGCTGTGTACACGGTCCACAGGCACGAAGTGCCATAAATGGAGCCGTCGTCAAGCAGATGCCTGCAGAATTGGCTTATATTCGTCCCGGGGACGAACTCATCACAGGGCGCGAAGGAGAAAAGAACAGAATAACACAGCCCACAAAGCCCACGACCTTAGAGTGAAAACACGCCCACAAGACAACAGACAAGAACAATGTAAATTCAAGCCTGAAAGCAAAAGCCAGGATAGTTAACGAAGATACTCCTAATGTTTAGTTGACGAACTAGGAGAACCTAGAACATTTTGTAGAAACGAGCACGCCCACATAGCCTATGAGCCCACAAGATAAACTCCGAGAGCAAAGCTTGGACGCTAGGGTTTCTGGTGAAAGTTCTTTCCTTCACAAGACAAACCAGTAAACCCCGGAATGTCATTGATAGTCGGATGGCTATTGTTGGTCAAAGTGTACATCTTTGAGACGTCACCTTAAGGATAGATATCCACTTGACCTCGGAGCTGGACGGTGATAACGAGAGAGAAGGAAAGAGAGAAAGTGGGGGAGGTTAGGTAGTTATATTTTGGGGATTGGGGATGCAAACAGTCCACAAAGGGAAGGTACGTGTATAAGTTCGTAGACACGTTATTTTCCATGAATATACACGTGGAGACGCCCCAGCATATCTCATCGTGAAAGGCTCTCTTCAACAGGGAACGAGCAACTGCATCTGATATCTATGTGCCATTTGACCACGGTGATAGGATGATAGGTTCTCAATGGTGAGGTTTTGCTCAACAAAGCACGGCCTATCATCAGAAACTTGCTGGAGAGTATGCGATTAACTCTCCGGATTAGCAGGTATTGTAGGCGTATGTTAGCAGCCCCATGGAATAACAAATATTGCTGTTGGATGTTTCCACGAACTCAGCATTAGAGTCACTTTAGGATAAAGCATACAGCTAGACCCTTTTATCAAAGGTTAAAATGCAAAGATGCTTTATCAGGAATAAGAAGTTGTTTTTAAGTCTAGGGGATTAAATATTCTTCCGTTCCGGTGTTATACTGTTTTCTGCCTGAGGCAGCAACAATTCTTAATTCCCCGGGTGTTGCAGTTGCAGTCCCTCTTATGCGACATATGTTCACTTCGGAAAATAACCCCAAACTTGTTTATAAATTTGTGCTTTTACAAATTCTCTTAAAGACACATTCCTTCGATCTGGGGTGCTTGGGCGCTAATCGTCCTTTTAGGTCCCCGATCAACCACGACCATGTCCATGTCTCATAAGGAGCAGGCTCCAGGGAGCATTATGCAGAGGAATTCATTGTCACTACTACAACGAAATTACCCTCCAGTAATCTAAAGACCTATACACAATATCTCATATCAATCCCTTGCAGAGAAAGCACGCTGAGCCGCAGTTTATTCTTCATGATGGGTTCAAAGCCCGTTGTCGATCTTGCCAATACCTAACCTTGCCACTTAGACCACGCAGCAAAACAACCGTTCACTTATCACATATAGAGGAGCGCTTTTTCTGTTGGCTGAGTTACCCGAGTCGGAAATAAAGAGCGCTAATGATGATAATCTCCGCGCCCAGCGCCACGAGGCAGTATTCAAACGATCGTTCTCTCTCGTTGCATCCCCCGGTTTTGCATTCAAGTGTGTTGCCCTCCTAGTATATATTAAGATCATCATGCTGAGATACCTAGCATCATAATGCTTGGGTCGGCGCACTAAGCAATTTCAGACAGAATCTCGGATATGGAGGGTCCCGAGTGGCTCTATTTTCTGTTATTATTGCTTGCTTTGTACAGTGTATTATAACCCTGGGACTGTCTGAGCTAGCGTCCGCGTTTACTTCATCTGTAGTAAGTCATCTATGGTGTGCTTATTCGCTCGGATGCATGAGCTGAATTGCAGGTGCCATCTTATAGGGCCAATATCACTTTGTCTATATAATCGCACCCCAGAAGAACAAGAGATTCGCTACCTTTATGACAGGTTGGATGTCTATACTTGGATGGTGGATGATAACATGCTCCGGCTTGTCTCTTGTGGCCAAGGCAGCCCTGGGACTGGGCCAATTTCTACATCCAGACTTCGAGTTCAAACAATGGCATGAATACTGCGTGTATCTTTCTACTATTATTGTGACAAGTTAAACGCCATGATTGTTAAGTTGTTTTCCAAGTTATCTTTCATTCCTAGCTCGGATTATCCTGCATAGTTACACCTCTTCTCTTGTGCCCCAAGAAAATACCACTCATCACATCCTGGTCTCTATATCTCGCATTGTCCGTGTTTGCCATTTTGTTTGTAACGATTCTTGTCATGCACCGGCATCCAAATGACAGGTCGGATATTATCAGATCTGGTCAAGGAACAAGTGGATGGAAAATAGCACCCCCTGGCTTCTCGGAATTATCAACTCGATGTATTGTTTTGGTGCCAGCGATGGAGCAATCCATATCGCCGAAGAAATGCAATCACCGGTTCCTCGACTCCCACAGATCATGTTAGCCAAGACCTGTCTCATTCTCTGTCTCTAATGTCCGATTGTGTTACCAGGTCCGCTAATAATAACAGGAACATGACTCTAGCCATTGGCCTCTGCACAGCAGTACCGCTATTAGCAGTCTTGATAGTTGCCATGAAAGACATGGACCAAGTAATGAACGTCAGAATGCCAGCCGTGGGACTATTATATCAAGCAACAGGGTCTATAAGGGTGACTGTGGCACTTAGTATACTGTTGACAGTCATATACGCAGCATGTCTTCCTCCACACTGGCTCACCTGTGGGCGTCTTACATGGGCCTTCTCCAGAGACAGAGGTATTCCATTTCCCGATTTCTTCGATAACATAGACAAGCGGCTTGAATTCCCGCTTCGCACAACAATAGCCTCTACTGCTTTTGCTGCTATTTATGGCCTCATATATCTTGATAGCACTACGGCCTTCAACTCCATCATTACCTCTGCCGTTACGTTATTGAACTTGAGTTACGCTATTCCCCCGGCTATCCTCGTCACGCGAGGTCGTGCACAGTGTCTACCAAAACGACCACTCGGTCTTAGTCGATGGGGAAATATCTGCAATGTTTTTGCGCCGCTGTGGATTACAGTCCTGGGAATTATGAGCTGTTTCCCGCCTGAACTTCCAGTTGCCTTGGGCTCGATGAACTATAGTGCGCCTGTTTTAGTGGCATTATTCCTTATTATTCTTGTTTTCTAGGGTTTGATAGGCGACGAGTTCAAGGGACCCAATATTGATTGGGAATTGGACTTCAAGAATGACACGCCAAGCGACTTGTCGACAGATTTAGTTGAGCCGAACATAAACCTGTGACCTGGACAATCTCGCTGGGTTTGTGAGGCCTAGGGAGGATGTTTATATGATGATGTCGGGTCAGCTACAAGCTTCTATTAGCTTTTGCAAGGTGTAACAACCAAGTCATGCTTGTCTCCATGAATTTTATACAAGATCAAAAAGACCTTAGTTGAAAAAATTGAACAATTTGTATTTGGTATATCGCACCAAGGCCAAGAGTCATTAGAAAGCAGGAACCTGACTATATAGAAGAAGCACCATGTGCTGATTTGAAGGAGGCTCCAAGATCACCAATCACAGATTGGTAGAAAAATATGCCCTCAGATTGAAAACTACCATGTTTTGTCACTCGTCACCGGCGTGCTTGTCGTTTCCTTGAAAGGCGTACAGACGAAGCACATATACAGGGCCTCGGAGTATGTAACTGTATTTTCTCATCACTGGGCTATTACATGAGAAGAGTCTGAAACATCTCATGCTGAATATCGTACTGGAAGGGAATAGGGAAGAAAACCGAAGGAGATGTGAGATTTTGGAGATCTAGAATATGTACAGCAACGCTGAGTGATGTTAGTTGAAGTTGAACACATTAAATATTGACATGATGCCAAAACAACACATAGCAAGAAATATCAAAGGTCCGAGTCTCTTCAGATCTCTGTTCATTGCTCAATCACACACTGTGGTGCCGATGTCTTCTTCCACTCCGACGTATCAGGGGGATGAAGTCCATGCCCGACGGGTTTATTCAACCGACATGTCATGAGAAGCTCTTGTGAGGTTTATCGTCATCAAGACTAGGCACATGATATCCCATTGAATCTGCATTGTAACCGAAGACCAGAGAAACAGGATGAAAAAACATACATACCTCTCGTAATAAATAGCGGAGAAGTCCCCGACCAGGTCGATCTTGCATCGTCTCAAACGATAAGAGGTAGTTGCTGGCATTGACTGGCAAGGTATTATCAGATTCAACATCAAGCTGCACCTAGATGCGACTTTCTCGGAAAGGCTCTGCAGTGGGACATCGAGAATGATAGCTGCATTTGGTTGTCAACAACAACTTCCTATCAGATGAGATGATCCAAGAGCATATTTGACACCATCAGGGGATAATTGGCTGGGGAGTCGGAATTGCAAGTTTTGGGGGATAGCATCCATGTTGTCAAGACGCTCAGTGGGCACGCTGCCACGGCGCGTAGTGAGCACATCACCGCCTATCCTACCGCCTTACTTAGTCCCCGCACAATTGCCCAGGACGATGGCACGTGATAACCAGCGTGGTTCCACTGATGAACGCATTGGCTTGCATATACATTCCGTTATTAAGGGTTCATGCCTGCAGCGGTCGGCTACTTGTGATGGTCAGTACATCCCACATTCATAATGGCTCCCCCAGCATCCAAGTGGTGGCAAGAGCCCAACGACGCCGACCTCGACTACGGATTCGATTCTGACGAACAGGATACCAGATATACCGAACCTGATCGAAGCAACTCCCACGAAAACAACAGCGAACCGAGAGACATCCAGAACACGGAAGATAACGGTGTTATTGCTAGCATGTCTTCTTGGCTCCACCGCCAGGCTGGTTCGACCCACGGGCAGCTTGCGACAGCGGCTGTCGTATCAGGCGCAGCTGTCGCAGGTGCTATCTTCGGGTACCAGTCATACAAACGCAAGGAAGCTGTTCATGACCTGAAGGCTTCGATTCCAAGTCCAGATGATTTGCATCCCGCAGAAATGGTGAGCTGCGCCAATGAAGCTGCGCATCTAGCCTACCAATCTATAGGACAAAAGAAAAGAAAACTGATTCCGCGGACTATAGCTCACCGATTTTGGCGCTGCCTCGAACGGAGTACAGCTGAGCAAGGAAGATGAGCGCAGTGCAGCTTTGGCTCGCAGAGCGCAACAAGGAGACTACGATGATGGTATGTGACTCTATGAATTGCTTCTGGAACCTGTCTCACTCCGCCTGTCTCGCTTTGGTAGACTTGATTCTTGAACAACTCGCCCGCAACCGTGTGTTCCTCGGCGACGAAGGTCTTGCCAAGCTTCGATCATCATTCGTTGTTGTTGTCGGCTGTGGTGGTGTCGGCTCGCATGCCGCTGCCTCACTGGCCCGGTCGGGCGTGTCCAAAATCCGACTCATCGATTTCGATCAAGTCACACTCTCATCGCTGAACAGACACGCTCTTGCGACATTGGCTGATGTTGGTACACCGAAGGTCCATTGCATCCGGAGGCGATTGGAACAAATCGCACCGTGGGTCACCTTCGATTGCCGGAATGAGCTCTATGGAAAGGACGCGTCTGGGGACCTTCTCGGCCCATGGTCTCTAACACACGATGGGGAGGGCCGTCGGCCAGATTTCGTGCTTGATTGTATCGACAACATTACGTCCAAGGTAGAATTGCTGCACTACTGCCACTCGAACTCCTTGCCTGTGATTTCGTCGATGGGCGCAGGATGCAAGTCAGACCCGACTCGCGTCGTGGTCGGTGACATCTCCCTCAGCACCGATGATCCTTTGTCCCGCAGTACACGCCGCAGACTGAAGCTTCTTGGCGTTTCGTCTGGCGTTGCAGCCGTGTTTTCGACAGAGAAACCAGGCCCGGGCAAGGCTACCCTACTCCCTCTCCCCGAGGATGAATTCACCAAAGGTCAAGTTGGTGAGCTTGGAGTTCTGCCTGACTTCCGAGCCCGCATTCTCCCAGTACTGGGGACTATGCCCGCAGTGTTTGGTTATACAGTAGCCAACCACGTTATCTGCACTATTACTGGCTACCCGCTTGACTACAACATGGGCGCCAAGGGCCGCGAGAAACTCTATGATACCATCTTGGCTGCTTTGCTAAGCTTGTATGAACGAATGATTAGACAAGTCACCGGCCAAGATACTGTGGGGCTTCGTGTACCACTCAGCAAGGATGATATCGCATTCCTTGTGGAAGAAGTGTACCGGGGGAAGAGTCCGATCAGTGGCTTGTCTAACAGACTGGCTCTCATTCCCTGGCAAACTCCTTCTCACGGATGGAACATGGATCTGAGCCTTGAGAAAGAGGGACAAAAGACTGTCCCGATGGATATCAATGACATGGTCTGCATGACCAAGGAGGAAGCACTCCGCCACGAAAAAGAGGTGCTCAAGGGTGGCAAGAAGGTGGAAGAGGTATATGATGAGGCTGTGCTCCAGCGTGTAAACCTGCGCAGACGGGAAGCAGAGGAGTATGACCAGTACCGCGGATAGTGTTAAAATGTACAAATAAATCAAAAGAACAAAAGTCCAGTTTAAAAAAGGAAGATAAACAAATCAAGCATTGCCAGCTCTGGACCTAACAGAAGAAAGCGGGTCACGATAAACGTCAGAGCGCGAGGTTAATTTCTGCCTAAATCTACGCCTACATCTACGCCTAAATCTTCACATTCACCTACGGTCTCTCACTTCCAGCGGATAAATGCGGTACATATGAACTATACAGTACAATCTGATTCAAAGATATAAAGCCAAACTCGGACGTAGCCCAATGGCGTCTGGCGACTCCCATCCGCAGGACCTCGAGTCCCCGGATGATGACTTCCACCCGACCACAACTCACCATCCCTCCTACTCAAATCAATTTCCACAATATTCTCGCCCCCTGATTGATTCCGCCAGAAATGCGTGGCAGTATAAAGCCCCTAAAAATCCCCAACACGCCTCCAGCTCCCCCGCGGATGACATCAAATCCTTGGAATGGCCCCAAATGGCTCTCTTGGTAGCTTTCGCGCCGCGCTTCCGGCACATGCTGATCTACGGCGCGTTGTTTATATTTGCATGGATCGGTTGGCGAATGCTACTTTCTCCTCAACTACAAGTCCAAAACTCGCTATTGCATTCGCCCCCTCACGCCAACGGCTTAGTTCAAATCCGTACACTGGACCCAAACCTGGTGCCTGTGGATATGGCAAGAGTGGATCAGGGGGAAACGAGTCGGAAACGGCTAATCTTTGTGGGCGATGTGCACGGCTGTAAAGATGAGTGTAAGAAATACCTCCTAAACTACGGGAATCCTTGGAATTGACAAGCCCACAAAAGTGGTGCAACTTCTTGAAAAAGTCTCCTTCAACCAAAAAGACGGCGATCACCTTATTTTTGTCGGTGACATGATCAACAAAGGACCAGACAGCAAAGGGGTCGTGGATTTAGCTCGGGAGAATTCGGCATCTAGTGTCCGTGGGAACCACGAGGACCGGATTCTGCTTCTCCGGCAAGAGATGGTGAACACCCAAACCCTCACAACCCCTGATGAGGGTAGGTACTCTGGTTTCTCATCTAGAGAACTTGCCGAGCGTGCACTCGCACGCTCTTTGAGCGAAGAGCAAGCTCAGTGGTTGGAGAACTGTCCAATGATCCTAAACGTCGGCCAAATTCCAGGCATGGGCCAGGTGGTTGTCGTTCATGCCGGCCTAGTACCGGGCATTGACCTTGAAAAGCAAGATGCGTCCAGCGTGATGACTATGCGCACCATTGATTCAGATACACATGTACCCAGTCCGAAAAAGAAAGGCATGAATTGGGCTAAAGTATGACTGAGCTTTCTCCTCCATCCCCATTAACTTTGTCGTCATACTGATGTACGTTAAATTTAGATGTTCGATAAACATCAATCGAAACTATACTTTAGCCTCGAGACTTCTGAAGATCCCTTTTCAAACACCATGACTGTTGTCTATGGCCACGATGCTTCTACCTCCCTTTCTATCCGCACATTTACAAAGGGTCTTGACTCAGGTTGTGTGACGGGAGGAAAGCTCACGGCTTTGGTCATAGAGGATGGCGGAAAGCAAAGTATTGTACAGGTATCGTGTCATGGCTATTTCAAGGGATGACATTTCTTCACTGTTGCTTTTAGTCTAACTTTGTAGGTATATGTATTCATATAGGGTGGTGACAATGGATTTTATACTACAAGATGACGCGTGTGATGTGCGAGAAACGCTTATCATCGCGAAGTGCTTCCGGCAAATGGTGGCACAACCTACAATCTTTGGTTGTGAACATATAAAGTACAGACCTACATCCTTACCTTCATCTTGGGGGGAATCTTTTACCTCTTTTGACAACCTCTACAATCACTAGTCTCTGTAACTCTCACTGAGGTTGAAACGAGTTCCGCGTAAAGGTCACTAAAAGTTATGTCACCAACAGTTGGAGTTAATAGCACGGACCGTAATCCGGCGCATGTTTATTTCAACCACAATAACCCACAGAATTTCACATGGGCAACCTCGGAGTGATGTGGTAGTCCAATCTGACGGGTGTCTAAATACTGATCCCACACGGTTGCCAGCAGGAAAGAACTTTAGAACTTACTATATGAGGGTCTAACCCCCGGAGGAAAGATAACTAGCACCAAACACTCAATAGCCTAGAGCCCGCGCGTCGCAAGTCTATCAAAAATATCTACATTTAATTGCGACAGAAGAATGACAGTATGTACAGATGACATATACCACAGTTGCCTATTCGGATTCGGATTCAGGATCCTCGGAGATCTCAGGATCAGGGAAAACAAAATTACCGTCAGCTTCCCAAACGGCAGGTGGAGAAAAGTCTTCATACCAAAGACCGCCCAAAGGATTAGTATGAACGAACCCAAAACGGAAATACTCTAGCTCATTGGGATAGGTACGAGACCAAGTGAAATCTGGCAAAGGCTGGCCATCCTTAGGTCGGAAGACTTGGAAGCGCTCGACGTCATTGACTAAGACACTGAGGCCGTCGGCATGGGGCTCAAGGTCCGGGAACGAGAAGACGAGGTTGTTCACATCCGTCAAGGAAGGAGGATATATCTTTGGTGGAACGGTACCGAGTTTGGCACCATCAAGGAGAGCGCCTGGAGTTTGGAGAATCGAATCAAAGCCCCAGCGGGCGATGCCGTTTATAAAAAGACCAATAAGGATGCCTGAGTATAGGAGGCTGGGTCGAGTCTGCATAGTTGTTCCAGGCAGGAAGAGAAGAGACAGAATATAGTGGTGAATGCGTAGGTTCATATGCGGAACGGCGACAAGAAGAAGAACAACTGCAACAAGGACGCCGTATATGCTTATTGTAGGAAAAAAGCGGCCCTCGCGACGGAAACAATGTGCTTGACCAAAAGCGATTGTGACCAAAGACCCAACTACAATGATGAGAGCCGTGAGAGCACCCGGTTGCTGCTGGATATCGTGGGGCGTGAGGCGAGAGATTGGAATGCGATCGAATGTGTCTGTGTTTAGGGCGCCAACCCAGCAGCCGCCCAGCCACAGGACAGTCTTGTCCCAGTGTGCATCCAAATCTTTTAGCGTATGCCGGACGCAGAAGTAATACAGCACGAATCCCACAAATGCACCAGGTAGGAATCGACCAAGCGCGATTGACACAAGATCATAATAGCTCCCTATAGAAGGTGGGTCGGACGCCATGGCGACTTGGAACCAGACAATAAAATATATCATGGAATAGAATGCCGGTGCCGATGTCACGACTAATGACAAGATGGTGGTCCATATCAATGTGAAGGCGAAGAGCGACCAGCGCGCATCAGAGCACTTAATGGATTTTGTCTCGTTCGAGTCTGGGGATGACGCTTCATTATCGAGTCGGAATGACATCGGGAAGCTCGAGAGAAACTCGATACTTTCAATTCCATGCTGCATGATAAAAGGGAAGTTTTTCTGCTCGCCGGTGCGGTGCAGGATGCCACATCCGCCCCTCGCGTCATCAATTAGACCTGCATGCAGTGCCGACGCGCAAATTGACGAATCGCCGCGGTAAATGCCGCCGTGATGACCATCTACCTTGAATGGCTTACCTCCCACGACTAACGGTCGGTAATTGAGCTCCTGGTCGCCAACAACATACGGCTCAAGAAGAATCGCTGCGGCACAGCCAGATGGGCAACGGAACGCGAAGGATTGGTCCTCGAATGGGCGACAAAGATCACCATTCAGTCCACAGTTCGTGGCGTTGCTCCTAAAAAAAGATATGGTTAGGTTCACAAGGTTAGATGATCTGCTTAGGGATAAAAATAGAAACACACCATAAACGGTGGTGACACGACAGCTTGACCGGCTGCCCATACCCTGGAACCTCTTGGCCGGCGACAGAAGCTTTTAAGGACGCGAAGAACACGACAATCCAAAAGATTAAACCACCAAAAAGGAGGGCGATCTTTGAACTTCTGCGCGGAAATTTTTGGTCAATCAGACGCGCCGGCGCAGCCTGTAAACGTGGGAACCAAGGATTAATGTGGTAGACATGCGCCGGCGTCGGGCCTCGGAGCCATGCACAGAATCCCGAGGGCGTACAGGAAAACGGCGGATCGCGCTCGAATCTCTCCGATTGAGGCTCCATGCCCTGACCTTCCGAGGGAAGAAGAGGCACATCGCCTATTTCCAAGTCCAAGCTTAGCTCATCGCTGTCGCGGGCTTCATCCTTGTACTGCGACCCGATCTCGTGCAAGGGATACTCGGATGTTGACGACTTATCCGGTGAGGGTGATCGCGCACTTGCCCCGGAAGACTCCGGTCGCGACTGCATTTTTATATACAAGGTTATTTACCTGAGCTCTGGAGCTTTTAGGGGGAAGGAAGTGATGGAATTCCTCATTTTGAATCCCTGGACCTGAGGTTGTTGATCCTGGAATTTCTTGGCTTTTAGTCATCCGGATTGCTGGCCACGAGGGTATCAAATCCGGCGTGGACCTCATGGATCTGACCCCGGACGAGTTCTCCAAAGGTATTAACAAAACATATGGATATTAATGATACTATTGATGCAATAGCGAGGTCCTGCTACACCGAGTTCTTTTCATTTTCGATATATATTGCGAAGACTGGAAAACTATACCAAATGGACCAGCGGTCTTGCCGTTCTCTAGCAAGTCAATGATATTTTGAATGTCCTCAATATCGCTGAAGGTTGTCATGTGCGCTTTCATTCCATGCTCATAGCTGAATTCAATGAGCTCCCGCATCTATTGCAGTGTACCACTGCTCGCACCCATAATACGATACTTTCCCAGGAGGATGTCGAGAGCCTTGATTGACAGGTTCTCCTATGGATACCGATAACCACGAGAATACCATTTATCCTGAGGAATAGGTTAGTAATATATTGGGGAACGGTCATATGCCAATTTGGTTGTGAAGCCACTAACCTTAGCTCCCTGGTGCGCAACATTAGAGGCACACAGAACCACAACAGCATGCACACCTTCACCGGTCTGACTCATGTCTCTTTTTTATGGCCCAGGGTTGAGGCCGAGTTGAAGGTCAAGCCTGCGCTAAGAGATTTCGCAGATTCTAATTGTGAATAATCCCAAGGTAACTGATCATCAGAATATGTACAGGATCTTCATGATCGTCATACTTTTGGCACTGAAACTATCAACCATGAAATCCTCTACGCTTTGTGGCACCTCTCCGTTTTGAAGCTAGTGCGCAATAACGTCACACCGCTACTCTCAAGCGCATCCGACTGGTAAACACCCAGAACACTGGATTAATCTACGCAGGATTTCCATAATTGATACTGTATCTATACGAAGTTATTTCTGTGGGAAATGCCCCAGATGTCCGTCAGGCACATGCCATAAGCGAAGGTCAATCAATAGTCCTGTCCTGTCCAAGTTTCCATCGACTCCCACCGAGATCCATATAGCGTCGGTTCACATCGACACTCACCGAGTCGTCTATCATCATCTATGCTTTCCTCTCTGAAGCCCCATTTCTCTAATCAGCGCCATAACTCTCACTCATCCTCCATGTCGGAACCACACGCGGCACGACCCAGAAGATACAAGGCCGTGATTTTTGATATCGGCGATGTACTCTTCAGCTGGTGCCCACCCACTACCACCAGCGTGCCCCCATCCACCATCAAAGCTATGATCTCCCACCCGACCTGGTTCTCGTTTGAGCGCGGAGAAATATCCATCTCGGACTGCTACGCGCAGCTCATGCAGGCGTTCTCTACTGTCTCGGTTCGAGATGTATCGGATGTATTTGACGAAGCTCGAAAGTCCCTAAAAAACGACCCGATCCTGACGCAGCTGCTGCATGATATCAAAAAAACTGCTTCAAAGTATATGGATCATGATAATAATGACCTGAGACTATACGTCATGTCCAACATGTCCAGGGAAGACTTCGCCTATCTACGTCAATTAGATTATTTTCCGTGGGATTTATTTGATGGCTCCTTTGTCTCTGCACATGTCGGGATGCGAAAGCCGGAATTGCAGTTTTTCGAACATGTGCTAAGGGAGATTGGGATGACAGAAAATCCAGACAGGGTGCTTTTCATTGATGATAAGATGGAGAATATACAGGCAGCGGAGATGGTTGGTATGCATGGAGTGCAATTCAGATCAGGCGACGAGACAGCCGCCGTTGTGAGGGGGTTGTTAGCAATTGATGCTGCTTATCATTAAATGTTTTATATAAGTTAATAACTTAGCAACGGATCTAAAGAGAAATAGAAAGGAGAGGTAGAAAGCTCGCACAAAGGAATATGATTGAAGTCTCTGATAACAATGTATGGTATGGATGACCGATGTTGAGATAAAATGGCCTATTTTACCACTATGTTGTAGATCATAACAAAAACCTCGGTTCCTGTTTAGGGCCAGTCTGACAAATGACAAAAGCCCAACGATGAAACTGTATTATGTACTTTTGTATGGTATGCTTGATACCAAGTGTCACAGGGTTTTCTGGGTAAAGTACAGCATTCTGTCTCCACCATGTACTGACAGAATGCTCCGCTCTACTGTGGATGTAAGGCGGATTAAGGACAGATTAAGACTAGCTTCAAAGAAGATTCAAAATGGACGGGATGTGGACTATAAACCTCTTATCTGTCCATGACTCAAAATTGCATACGCGAAGGCGAACCAATCAAATTGTATGGACCTCTCGTAACCCTCACCGGATTGAGGGATCGTCACTGCAGATATACCGTTAAAAACTTACCATGTCTTAGGAATAGTACACTAGCCCAAAATCTCATGTATTTTGGTGTACCTCGAGACCCGGACAGCCCAGCTATGGCGACGAGAAACGATCCAACTTTAAACCCGGCTCACTCGAATCGTGTGAGCCACTTCACTGAGCCGCCATCCTTCGCTTCCTTGTGTGCCATTTCCCACAACCTCACAATTCCCCTCTATCGGCCAATGCCGCTTGTGAGATCGCTATTACAGTCCACACAAAGGTCTGCTTCCTTTCTTGATGATTTACTAACATACGTTCCTTTCTTTGCGTTCAAACTAATCGACCTTGCAACCATAAGCAGTTACCCCCATACAAAAGTATTATACGCAATATGCTATCCACGGCTGTTAATTCAAACCCGAAGATTCAAACCATTGTCATCCAAGTTGAGGGGATACTGGTAAACATACCTCACTTGGCCAATACGGCTTTCTGCATTCCCCCCCTTAAACGGCTCCAGTCAACTTCCACTTGGATGCGCTATGAGTGCAATGAGATAAAAGAGCAGCAATGCTATGAGGCGCTCGGCAAGCAGTTTGATTTTGATGCTTCTGAGCTGGAAGATGCTGTCTCCGCTCTCAGGGATGTGATCGACTATGACAAAAACCTGGTTTCCAAAATCCGTCAGCTGAAAAGGGAAACGGGAGGTCTTTTAAACATGATAGCCATATGGAATGTTGCAAAGCCGGACTATGATGCCATTCGCAAGCGATGGGGAAGCGACTTCCTGGAGGGCTTTGATGATATCTTCACTTCGTTCGCAGCTGGGGCACGAATGCCTCATATTGGATTCTACCATCAATTTTTGACCTCCACCAAGACAGAACCCCAAAATTCGGTGTTTATCGGAAGCGATATTCGAAATGTTGTCGCGGCCCGTTCGTTGGGTATGCGTGGAATCGTGTTCAATGGTTCCCAGGAACTACCTCGCACTTTGTTGAACGTTATCAGTGACCCGGTGAATCGGGGAATGCATTTCTTCAGCGCAACGCCAAAAAGCTGCAACCTTCCACGGATTGCGGTACGCCTATTCTGGAAAATTATGTGCAGCTTTTGATCTTAGAAGTCACAGGCGATGAGTACTTTTGTCCTGCACGTATATTTGAACAGTTCATTCTAATATTTTTTATAGGACATTGATCGTATACAAAAAGCCAGACTATGCAAAAGAACACACTTGGAATTACTACATAGGTAGGAAATTTCCATCGTGTAACTCATACATATTAAAAACATTGTCTTCTAACACGGTGAAAAATGACATAGAGCAGCCGACCTTTACCAAGATGAACCCTCCAAATGACTTGGATACTACATCACTAGCGCTGCAATTGGTACCACAAGAAGATACAATTGTGCATTTGTTACTTGATAAAATGCTTGAATATCTCAGCCCCGATGGCATCATCCAGGTACAGCCCTTGATTAAAATGGGAAAACCGAAACTAATGGATTTTACTGGTAGGTATACTTCGATCATGAAAGACCACGGGTAGATCCAGTCGCCTGCGTGAACATTTTTCTCACCTTTCATACCCATCGACGTGGGCACGAGCTCCAGAAAACCGTCGACTGGATTTACCAGATTCTTTTGTATAGAGCGTACATTGACGGGACGTATTACTATCAGACAGCGGAATGGTTTCTGTTTTATATATCTCGGCTTCTTAAGCAGACCCATGACGCAAATTTGGAGAAGAAATTTGCCCCCCTTCTTCGAGAACGAATCCAGGAGCGTATTGGGGCCCCCGGAGACAGCCTCGTTCTCGGAATGAGATTGAGCGTGTGTCAAGCTATGGGAGTTTCCAACTACCAAGACATGAAAACCTTGACTGAAATGCAGTGTGAAGATGGTGGATGGGAGCCGGGTTACCTTTATTCTATCCCTATTGTAGGAAAAAGGATTTTCGATCGTGGTTTCACTACGGCACTCGCTCTTAAGGTTATTAAGGAAAACCGTCTCGATTACTAGCGACATTCTCGGGAAAATTCGATAAGAGACTCGGATCTTGACTCGAGCTTCTTGTTATTTGGAAGAAGACTTCTGTCCAAGTCGGTTACTACATGTTGCTTCTGGAATGGAAATATCAAATCACGATGGTTCCTCGTAGAGTTTGTAGACACTGGCTATATAGCCACCCACATGTAAATGTCCCACTGTGACGATGTCGAACTGTTGGAGCTTGATATCACAGACTCTCAACATGTTGTGAACGACAAGGTTTCAAAGGCCATCGCTATGTTTGGTCAGATCGATATCCTTGGGAATAATGCAGGATACGTTCTTTCCGGTGTGTTGGAAGAAGTAAGGTGCGAGGTTCACTTTATTCCTTTTAGCGTGCCATTATGATTCCGGGACTAGGAGTTAAATTTCCCTTTTATGTTCTATCAACAGCCAATTCCAAGCAGCTTATTGGTCTCAAGACATCGGGTGTCTCTGGTGCTAGGATTTGCGACCGCCCGAGTTGTGGAATCGTAGGGGGCGTCAGTTGGCGGCCAGGCTACCTGTCATGTCTTCAGACCGCTGTCGCAGGACCCGCTAGGTCCCCGGTGTTGGATCCTCTGCCTCTGTTATGATATCACTGAACCCAAGCACATAGACTTAAGCTACTGGACTTTGGTTCTTGTTCGCATATTACCGTCCCCTGGACATCGTTCTTGTTACTCCCCGAGATCTGAGATTCGGGCCCAACACCTCTGCTAGGCTTGAGATAGAGTCCACATGCTTAGCCCAGACTTAGGTTCCCGCAGGACTAAAGAATGAGTACTCGTAAATTCAGAAGTCGCATGATATGTCATATAGATTATATTTGCCTTCTGCAACCGGGGTCCTCGGACATGGCTCATTCACAATCATCTCAACCAAATCGAGGCATACCCGACCGAGCAACCTTTTGCGTGCGACTCTTGTGAGGAGATATTGTTTCAAAATGGAGATGGCTCAATCCTATTTCGAACTGAAGGCAGTGGACAAATGAAGCTACCACCAGGCATACGCTCAGGGCAAAGGGTGGATCAGATATCACGCTTCCCACCCCCTCCTCTTCCACAGAAACCCAGGGAATCCTCCTACTCGCCCCCCAGCGTAGCCTTCATCCGCCGACTCCATTCATCCCGCTTGATCCGCAGAAGGATCAACGGAATACCACTAAGAAGACAGAATAAACAAACGGCAGTGAACGACCAACCCGTGCCAATCGCATCAAATAACGGCTGCGCAATGACCGCACTCACACACGACAGACTGTTTCGCATGAGGTTATTCACCGCGACGCCGACGGTGGAATTTTTTGGTGTAAATTCCGTCAGCATCGTCATGGTCACATTAGTAAGAATCATTCCACCAACCCCGTAGAAGAAGTTTCCGAGGAGCTATTATATAGGAGATTAGTCCCCGGTTGAAGCCGGAAGGGAGCGATGAAAGGAATGAACTTACTGGGACTAGCCAGAACTTATGCTTATCGGCCGTCCATCCCCACCACAAGAGTGCCCCAGGGAAGAGAATGCCCGCAAAGAGGCAGTTCTCACCTAGACGATCTACCGGGTAGAGGATCAACTCTCCCTTATCATCATATCGGCCCTCCTTTCGAGCGGTCCGCGCCATGATATAATCCTGCCAGCGGCCGCCAACAATCGCACCAAAGATTAGACCAAGGCCGCCGGGGATATAGGCCACACCGACAATAACGGGTCTCCAGGAGTATGGTGGCAGGGCGAAGGTGTCTTCGATAGAGACGCAGACAAGGTAGTACGTAGCGAAGACGATACTAGTATAATAGACCGTAATAAGGATAGGAGGGTATCGGAGGAGCTTGCCAGCTTCCATGGGCTTTAGGAGGAAGTATAGGACTTTCTTGCCGGGGCTAGTGGCGTCGCTTCGGTGCTGGCGGTGGTTCTCTTCAAGGTTAGTGGCCGTCTCTGGCATGAAGAAGACCATCACCACAAATACGGCCCAGCCAAAGATAACCATAAACCACTGCGTACTACGCCAGCTCCAACGCATAGTGAGTGCCCCGCCGATGATAGGGGCAAACATAGGCCCTAGCATAGGACCAAGCATAAACACGCCCATAGCCTTGCCGCGATCTCGCACTTCGAATAGGTCAGAAATGGTACCGGCGCTGACAGCTTGAAGGCACGCACTCGAGGCACTCCCAAGGAGTCGCATGGCGATAAACATGCCGATATTGGAGCTGATAGCAGCCAGAATGTTAAAAACCCCAAGGAATAAGAACGACAATATATACACCAGTCGACGACCATAGATCTCGGCGAGATATGACCACCACAAGGGCGTGATAGCGACAGAGAGTGAGCCAAAAGCGATAGACAAGTTCACCACTGACACGGTGGTATCCATATCCTTGGCGATCTCTATCAGGCAGGCTGTTTGGAATCCAAAATATCAGCTTCTTGTTCTGGCTGGGGAAAAGGACGCCTTACGAAACAAAACACCACTACTCAGTGGTACAACCAGCCCTCCCATCGCCACAATAAATGTCAACCCCCACTTCATCCCCGGGGTATAATGCCTTGGATCCCGCAAGGCTGGGACCAAACATAACCACGGGAGAAATCCTCTCCGAACGTGTTCTGAACCATGAGGATCGATTTCTTGCTGGGTTCCGAGTTCTGCCTTGGTATCGCCTTGCGTGAGTTCGTCGGGCGAGTCTGTTCGCTCGTCCTGTGGCGTTGTTTCTGTGCTTCTTAGGGATTTCATCGTGTTGAATGCTGCTGGAGACTCGGGTGTATCTTGTTTATGGAGGGAACTATTGCTTGTCGGTGATTTCGAATGCTCCTATTATAATCCTCTTCTGGCAAGTAGTATATATTCCAAATTTTTAAACCCTATATGATCATCCATGTATACACCTCGGCCGAGGTGTGGGGCCGCCTCGTGCGAGCCCCAGTGCTCGTGCGAGACCCACTCTTTCTCGGATCAAATCAGGAAGAAACCTTCCAAGGTAGAAATAACCAACATCTACAATCTACCTGGAAGCGACCGTGTCCTGTCCTATCTCGTACGAGAAATGTAGATCCCGAGTGATAGCTCAAAAACCAGGATGAAACTACTACGTGAGCTAGGGTATGAAGTATGTTTTCTACACAGCACTTAATTTTTGACCATAAATTTTGATAGGCGTGAGATAGCTTACTACCTAGGCTTTTAAGGTTGCTAGGTTTGTTAAGCTACACAAACTAGCTTTAGTTTACAGCAAAAATATAGGGACCTGTGAAATCGACGCCAAAAATGGGTTGACACGTGGACAACGTGTATTTCTAAGTACCTGACAGTGGTCGTCGGGCTTGGCACGAAATTTGGCTGTGTTTCTCACAGCGTCAAAACTCAGCTTTCAAGTCCGCCTCGCGGAGACCCACGGTTTGATGATACATTTTCTTCTTCAAGTTCGTGGTCAACCTGTTTTCTGGCCGAGTGTTTGTCGAGCTAAGAAACCTCTGTCAGCAGAGTACACCGTGAGAAGGGTATGTCTCATACCATATAGACGAGCCAAATATAGCCAAACATAACAACAGAACAGACAATTAATACTATGGAGCCCTTTTTCCAATACGGAGTGTCAGTGGCAGAGTAAAATAAAATACCCCAAAAGGTCCACAGCACCATGGAGCCAATGTTCATTGCGAAAAGGGTCACACTGCGCACAGCATCATCCCCGCTCCGCTGTAAGATGACATTTGCCCAGCCAAAAATGAGCGGGTTGACCATATATGCGGTGCCAGCGAGATAAAAAGCAAAGAAGGTACCCGTGAAAGACAAGTTCGGTACGAGAAGCATGCTACCAACGACAATTGATAGAAGGCAGGCCAAGACCGCCATTGGGACTCGCTTGCCAGTAACATCCATATGCCAAGCTGCGGCCATATTAGCCACGATTCCTACAGCTTGAACCCCGAGAGGATAGGTATTGATATTGGTTTGGGTGAAATGGTTCCTGTAATGCTTAAGCCAGAGCAGAAAGTTATTCTGCAAGGGAAACGCCTCAATGGTTGCACAGACAGGTGACCAGAAAAACAATATCCAACTTCATTAAAAGGTCAGCATGAATTAATTCCAAAAATGGCATGACTTACAAGGTTTTGGTTAAAAGGACGCGCTTAAACAGTGACATCGGCATGATGTTATGACCGTCCTTCTTGATACGAGGAAGTCTTGTGACAGCAAGCCGCTTCTCATCTGCAGTGAGATATTTTGCCTTGGTACTCTCGGGAATGTCGGGAAAGTAGAGAAAACCAAATACTGCAATCGGCAGGGTGATGATGCCATCTGTGGCCCTCCGTCAGCGGATTATCCTCCCAGAGTTAAAAGCGGATTACTAGATAGACCCTACCGATGAGGAAAACCCATTGCCAGCCTTCGACGTTGGCCATGCCAGCCATACTTTTATGAATGGCAGCCATCATGACGCCAGCAAACATTGTACCCACCTGACCAGATGCCGTGAAGAGTGCAGTGCGCTTTGAAATCTCGTCAGATTTATACCATGCTCCAATGATGTACATTGTCCCTGGGTAAGTGCTGCCCTCGGTCATTCCTAAGAAAAATCGGATAACGCATAGCTGCGTTACGGACTTCACTGCTGCACTGGCCATCTATAATATTCTGTTAGAAACGGCCACGGAAGGTGATCGTCAAGCTTACTGTCAAGCCAGCCCAAATGACAACCATCAAGGGGAACCAAATGCGTGGCGGCACTCGTTGAATAATGATCCCGTGGGGCAGCTGCCCAACAGCCATTCTACAGACGCAAAGTAACAGTTAGTAATTGAACTTAAATCATTAGGAGTCGCAATTAACCATACCCCGCAATAGTGACGGAGAGAACGGTGTTGTAGTCATTACCACTCATATTGAGAGACTCCCGAAGCCCGGCAACCTGCATGGAGAATGTTTTATTAGCTAGCCACAACTCACGCAGTGTTGTTGTTCTCCCAAACCAGCGTCATGAAGGAAATAAAGGTGACTGCTCACGTAGGCGTTAGCGAAAGCCGCGCGATCTGTGAAACCGGCGAAATTGTAAGCTAACCAGATCCTCTGACGGTATTCGAACGATAATACCCACCGAGAAAATTAAAAAAGTAACTTAAGCAGCAGTAGGTCTGTAGGCGCAATTAGGAGTTTGCTTCACGCGATGGTATCAAAACTTAAATGCTGTTTAAACTCACGAGAATGTAGAAGTCTATGGATCAAATGTTAATCTTGAGCCTCTTTTCAACGGCTTGTAAGCGGGCCAGCAGAATCGTACCGAGCTTTTGAACAAGCCGTTGCTCCTCTTCTGTCTCCGCAGTAGCGCCTAGGAAAAACCCTTAGAACAAGAGGCCTCAGTCAGTTCAATTCCGTAAATGGGTAGTCAATTAACGATATGACGCACTCCTGACTCGGTCCCCGAGTGAAATATTCCGATCCTGCATGATTGATGAAAATGACGGCGGGAATCAGGCAGTTAGGGGAGGATGTTGAGCGCCCTGTTGGCGAGGAACAGAGGATAAAGGCCGGAATATATGAGAGCACCAAAAAGCAATATTATAGGTGAGATCATGAAATATGTACCATATGGTGTATTTTATGGGATAGTCGTAAGAACTATGTAGGAAAAGAAGAAAGGGTAGACTATCTCCATGGGAGGTCATGTGACATACTCAGAGTTTGGACCTTGGAACCTTATTTTGAACCTTAGTTGATTCGATCAGTGATTGATAAGAAGTTGAACCGTTTACGGGTGGTAGACCGCGCCACGGCCCACGTTTGCCCATGATCATTATGGGGCCCCCGTTACCTGCCCAAGTACCTCACGATTATATGTAAATTTGTTCAATGTTGTAAACTGGTGATGCGAGCTCTCGCGCACTGAAACGAGCAAGGAAGCGTAGGAAAGAAAGCAAACACGTGGCGGGTACGCATCGCGAGCATTGCCAAGTACTCTCGCTAGTGAGAGCCAGGCTTGGCGCAAAATATCACCCCACAAATGAAAAACTCTGCATGTAAATTATCTGATTTTCCGTAGTGAAAGCTTCACCCTTTTTACTACATTTTTAATGCCTTTCAACTGTATTCTTGACTGCCTTTTTGCCTACAATATGTCTTCAACCGGGTTAACCTTAGTAAATTAGCCCAATACAGATAATGTGATCTATTGGAGGCCTCGAGATAACGAAATAGAGGCATTAATTGAAGGCATTAATACGGGGAATTAATACGGGCCAAGAACTATGTGGCTAAGGTAGTTCGGGGGCTGTGTTTTTTACTATGGCGAGACCACAATAGATGACACTTGTTTACGGTAGCTACAGTCAGCCCACAAAAAAGGGAGATGATAAGGACTAGACCTCTGCATAGCCCATCAATGGGCCCATCAAAGCCCAACCCACAACCCATTAATGGGGGCCCATCAAAGCCCATCAAAAGCCCATTTCTGTGCACAAATACAGTCTTGGCATACATAAAGTAGATGATTAATGACTGTATCTTACGCAGGTACCAACCTATATCTTCAGTATTATTATATTATCATAGTAAGAAGTAGGAATTAAGTGGATTTTATACTGATTTTAGCATCATGATGCCAGATTTCATACAAAATTTCATACAAATAACCCTAAAAAGATTTAATTTGACCATAAATTCGTACCTAGAATGAATTACCAAGTATTAGCATAAAGAGATATATATTATCTATAGAGGATTAATACCACTTTCTATAACTAGTTAATTGTAGTAATACTTAACGTATTTCACATACGAGTGGTCCACCCCATGTGGATGGAAAATAAAGGGCGGCGGCGTGTGACCGGCTTTTCGTCTTCTTTGCCGTCATTCCCGGTTATCTGGGTTAAAAGAAATTGTACTCCTTTCTTCCCCACAGACTGGAGGCTGCTGCGCCGTTGCTCCAAATACTTCAACAACAAAGGCCATATTGGCTTTTGTTCATCAGTCCCTCATTGACACCATCTGCGTGTTGAGCTTGGGCAGCAGCTTCAATGCGAATGCTTCTGCCAGCGCTTCTTGCTCTTGCAAGTTGCGGGATTTCCCAAGGCCATAAACAGCACCATAGCCATGGGAAGCGCAACAACGCAACACAATTGCCAGAGTTTACTCCATCGCCCCAGTTGCCAAAGAACTCGTCTTCGGCTCTGCGGTCTCTCTACGAGGCTTATTCAAAGAGCAAGCCCAAGTTCGAGAACGTGGCCCTCATCCGGCAATTGTCTCAGCATCCAGGGGAAAGAATTGACAACCTTGACTCTGACTCTGGCTCTCTGCGCAAACAAGACCTTCCCACAGGCACTTGCGCACCTGGAGTACCATGCACAAATGGAGCATGTTGTTCCAACACTGGCGTTTGCTCCTATGCCCCCTCGAGTTGCGGGGCTGATGTCTGCATTTCCAACTGCGACGCGAAAGCTCCTTGTGGCGAATACGCGAACCCCGACAATGCAACGTGCCCTTTGAACGTGTGTTGTTCGCAATATGGATTTTGTAAGTCTTACTATTTCAAGTTTGCTGGGGCATTTCATATTCTTCGGAGACCGAAAAACACTTATCTCTGCGCGAATCTAATTTTTCAAATTGCACCACAACACCGAGGGCTACAGCTCTCATTTTAATTGCAAGTCAATTGTAACTTCCGGCTCCATCTCCTAACCCCAATTTCTTATTGGTGGAAGGTATGGTAGCGCTAGGGAGCTAGTAGCCGCCCCTTTCAGGGGGCCGCGAAAATTCTACACGTAACATCAACGAGCGTATATTAGAAGCCAATTACGACGTACGCTAGTTGCTAAATC